AAAAGAAATATTTCTTTGCTGAGCGAAAACTGTGTCTCTGGTTTGTGTTTAGAAATCGGACAATAACGCAACTCTCTGTCGCTCCAGTATATGTGCTCTGGGACATATGTTCATTATTAAGTGGAGTTTGAGATAGGTAATGCAGGAAAAGTTGTGCTTGACAGTGATCTCATAGTGCTAATCGAAAATTGAGGTCTTGATCCTGGAAGACAAGAACGCAGATAGTGCCAGTGAAAGATACTGAAGGGGACTCAATTTTCAGAGGCGGAACAAAGGAACTACGATGCACTATTGAACCCGCAAGCACAGGTGTCATAAATTTGAATATGACTTCAGAGATAGATAACTCAGTTCTGTTAATGATTTCATGATTAACCTGGTGAAATTTGTAATACCGTAATATCTATATCGATTGGTGATTTGTTTTACAAACTTACATTTAATCCTACCATGTCAGTTACAGAAGACGTATTCAATCAGTTTTATAAACCTAAATCAAGTGGATTTGTTGAAGTACTGCCATTTATAACAAATTAAAAATGAATAATTGCCAGGATACGACTGTTCATAAATTTTATTTCACTTTTTTTTTTAATTTGCAAATATTGAAAACGAATTAAAAGGTTTAAAATCTGAGTACAGTTCTAATTAGTAGATGAATCCTCTCCAGAACGTTCACCAAGGTCAATTGTATCACGAAGCACTTTGGAAACTATTTCACGTGCTATATTTATATCATCTCTTGGATTGTTGTATGTTGTTGATGAATATGTATGATCTAGTCGCAAACTACCAAGGGGAATTTCACCACTTTCACTAACATTACTTCGTAAGATATCAGTTTTCTTCCGTTCACCAGGTAAATCATCTTCATCGTAGGCTTCATCATCGATTGTTGTTGCATCGTCATCATCATCATCATCATCATCATCGTCGGAATGTACAAGTTCAACTTGACGTAACATTGAAACTTTAGTTTCACCTTCACCAATCGAATGATCTTGAGTAAAATGATTAAAAAAGAGGGTAACAATTAGAATGTATTCCACAAACACTGATCATGAATTGCTTGCTGACTTTATAAGTAAAATCTACATTTAATCTGTGTACATAAGAAGAATAAACTTAGCAGTTATGGTTGCCTTAGACATTTCGAAAAACCTACACACACACACACACACACAAAGACATAATTTATTTCAAAAGGACCCATCCAACTGAATCTTAGGCCTAAGTCAAGATGAATATTCTGCCACGTGTGTCTGTTCTGAATTCGTCAAACTGATCTCTCCTGTGTATAGATCACCTAGACCTGATATAAGTATAAAACTTGGGCACTGTGGTAGAGTAAGTATAATTCCATTATGGATAAGATGTTATTTTGATAAATAAAGCAGGAATTAGGGTGGAATTCAAACCTACAAACTCACTCAGGGACAAGGTCTGTAGGTTGAAGGACCCTGTTGACCCGATTAGACAAAATAATATAATTTACAAAATACCATGCAATGACTGTGAGGTCAACTACATAGGTCAAAGTAGTAGGTCGGGGTAGTCAAATTATCAGAACGTAGGAATTTAGCTAAGGTAAGAATGGTTGACCTCGAGAAGATAAGTAATTTAGAAAAAAGCTCAGCTATTTCATTTCACGCAATAACACACAACCACACAATAGGGTGGGTGGGAAAGGGTTAAAATTCTAAAAAGTAATCTAGGTAGGTGGAGAAAGAGATTGATTACGGAATCCTTGTTCATTGAATCTACACCGAACACATGCAACAGAAATAACTCAATGCAAATACCAGAGATATGGAATACATAATTACCGCTGGTCAAATCAGAAGAGGATAATAAATAATCTTAAAATTCTATTTCAATTCAAACACATCACAACATTCTAACAAGTAGCTTATTATGACTATAAAAAACACTTGTTTTATTGATCAATAACACTCGTTTTATTATTTCTTGGTGTACATGATCTCATGCTGGTTTTTAATCCAATGTCTAATCGATTCCACACATGTATATAAATGAAAGAACAAAGTTGTGTGAGTAACTTGATATGATTATGAGGGGCAATAGTTTGTGCTCGAAACGTCATTAGTTAATATTACTGTTTAACTCCACTGTGTGATTTATCAAAATAAAATCTTATCCATAATGGAGTTACACCTTTACCCGACTATATGGAATGACAGCTTGCTATGGTAGCTATAAATTAAAAGTTAGCTCGCCAACCACGCATGTGGTCCGACGTTCTATCCTCAACCGACGCACTGTTTTACTTCGCCAAGCCAGTGATAATACTGGTAAAGAGGGAAGACTGGGTATGAGGCTAGCATCCCCATCCCGTAAAAATAGACACCACTGCTACCGAAACTTTAAGCCTCTTGTTTGAAGCCCTATATTCCACTGAGAACGTAAAGGAATAAAAAGTAAGACTGGAGAGCGAAATAATTATTTGTCACATAGCGACTAGATAATATGATAATTATAAATTGTGAAACCGAGAATAAAATGTACAACTACGACACAGCATGATATTTGATAATACAGATAGCATTACAAATAAAACAAAATAAAATACAGCTATCCACTAGGGAGAGAGATTAAACAAACTTCTTCTGAACATAGAGATTGAGTTGGAAAATCATTATGGTAACTGCCTCACCTATGCTTAGCAGCCAGTGACGTACCGACCTATGGAGTTGTGGTAGCATCTTGTATAGAGTTTTAAAAGCTGAATTTTCATGAACCCTGTGTCTCAAACCCACTAGGTGTGCTAGTGCTAGTATGGAGCTTCTGACTGAATTTAAGGCTCCTCTACAAAACCACGTTGGACAATGCTCCAGAAGGCGAGTGAGTATGGGCTTACCGAGTCGTTCTACCTATTTAACTGTCTCCCCATGAATAGTCAACATCAATATCATGCTGTGCTGTAGTTGTACATTTTACTCTCGGTTTCACAATATTTTATTATTATATTATCTAATCGCTATGTGATAATAGTTATTTCGCCCTCTAGCCCTTACTAGTATGCACATTCTCTACCTGTACACTAACCGTTGCCTAGATTATATTAACAAATAAATGAATTTACACATTATTATTATTATTATTGTGACTATTATTATCCGACTATCGACCAAAGGGCGGGTGTACTGCTCATCAGTCCGCTCCGTCCTCCTTTATGGCCAGCTGTGAGACCTGGCCATTGAGAGTGGAAGACATGAAAAAATTAGCTGTCTTTGATGATAGCTGCCTGCGTTGTATTTCCCGTGTGAAGTGGTATAATAAGGTGAGCAATATTGAGGTTAGGCGTCGAGTTCTAGGTAAGCAGGGGAAATCGATCGACGAGGTTGTGAAGTTACATCGACTGAGATGGTTAGGACATGTGTTACGTATGCCTGGTCATCACCTTCCTCGACGGGCAATGTTAGCTTACATAGGGTCAGGCTGGAAAAGAGCTAGCGGCGGTCAAACCAAAACATGGCACCAGTCAATGAAGTCCACAACAGTTAGCCTAAGCCACGTAGGAAGGTGTAGACTTCCTGGTTGGGGTCCGCGGAACAGTAAAAACCAATGGTTGGAAACAATTGGTGACATGACTCAAAATTGTTCTCAATGGCTGGCGGAGATGCATCCACTCCTTGTGATCTATGATTTCCAATGAAACTGTTTTGTTCTTCGTCACTACTATTGCTTTGTCTCACACCTCTGTTTACTGTCTCTATTATGCATTTCTTGTACTATCTTCTCTTGCTTTGTGTGCTACAAGGAGGGAGTTTGGCGACTTGAACTGCCGCACATATGTGCAAAGTTCTATGTCGAAAACAGACAGACAGACAGACAGATTGTGACCACCTTGATTGTTATCCATTAACTTACATCCCTGAAATGTAATCCTATATTTTATTAACCACATTAATTCAAATGAGAATTTACCGAAAATACCTATTTGCTAAAGTCGAGTTCTGCAATTTATATTCACTTATGGATGTTACTCAAGGCAAAACAAATATTATTTCAACAAGTGACTATAACCAAACAAGTGTTTCTTTTTATTTTGGAATTCCTAACACAGCGTTAGCCGTATTCATCTTTCGATTTTCTTTGTAAAGCAGCATTCCATATTAGTTTGTTTATTAGATGTATCACACAGTGAAATAGTATTATTTACTGGATGATGTTTCGAACAAAATTTATTACTGTTCATAATCATATCAATTATAATCACACGACTTCGAAACTTGAGTTTTATGGTTTTCTTTGTCCTCTCCTATTTGTCGTAGGGGTAGTAGGATTTTCCAGATATCTGGGACAGTTGTTGAATCATTCCTATTACACGTATGCTGTCTCAGTTGATTCGATAAACAAAGCTTCTGTTATCAATCTCTCCCTCCACCCTGAGACATTAGATTTTAAAACTGTCGTCCTATCCCATCCAGCCTATTGTATGGTTGTGTGTAACTGCATGTAGTGCTATAGCCAGCTGAACTATTCTCTAGATTTCTTATCTTATTTGAGTCAACCAATCTAGATTTTGCTGAATTTTTATGTTCAGCCAGTCTGACTGCCTCTGTTCTACTAGTTTGACCAATGTATTTGACCTGAAAATCATTCAAGTAGGGTATTAGATAAACTAAATTGTTTTGTTTCAAAGGCTCCACAGGATCCTTTAACCGACAAAGCCTGTTTCTAATTGAGTTTGTGGGTGACTTGAATGCCAGCCGCTTTTATTCCTGCTTTGTTAAGAATTCTACGTAAGGCTTCCGAGGTTCCTTTCTTGTATGGTATTGCTGCTGATGATTCAGATTCCTTATTGTTGGTGTCGTCATTAATAATGATAATAATAATAATAATAATAATAAATGCACAAATTACGCAGTACTAGTCTCATGATGACTAGCGAACCAATAATACTGAGAATGAATGTGAAACATTGACAGTGTTCAAAATAAATGTAATAATCATAATGCCTGACACGGCATCAGCTATTTTATTAAATCATTCAAATACACTAGAATAAGCATATCGGGATTGTAGCTAGTCAGTGGTCCAACGTGACTTTGAATGGCTTACACAATTACTTGTGACCTCAAACCTTGTGACCAGAAAAACAAATCGAAACTAATGTAGCACTTACTTTTTTTCTTTGAAGTCAACTTTTTTGTCGGTTCATGTGTTGATAATTTTGGTTTAACTTCGCCTAATGATTTAGACGATTCATCATTAAATTTAATATCAACACCAGGAGACTTTGATTTGACTGGATGATATTTTCGCGGAGAATTATTCACATTAGATTGTTTTACTTTGACTGATGGTAATGAACTACCAGAAAGACTAGTAGCCAAGGCTTCAAGACTATGCGAATGTACAATATTGTTGACAGATTTGTGATGATTTTCTTTTAACTTTTCTTTTAATTTCTTTAATTCTTTACGTGCATAGTCTGGAAGTTGATTTTTATTAAAATTATTTGAATTTTTCAAAGCCAAAACATGAAGCACAGGATTATTAAGTGGATTTAAGTGTTTACGATGAAAATGATCAGTATTCATCAAAGCATCTGGAAATTGACCTGGACTTATTTGTTCTTTTTGTGATTGTATTTTACTGGTTCTTGAAGGAGAAGACGGAGAACTATCGGTGGAATTTGTACTTTTTGAAATACTGAATGTTAATGTTAATGAATTCTATTTTAAAAAATAATAATAATAACACAAGAAAGAGGTTTAGACATTATTTTGGTCGTTTATACACGTAATTCTTCATTGTCAGGCATTTAATTCAACTCATCTAAGTGAATTAAATTATTCTTCAGGCGTGGATTTCCCCTGTTCTCTTATAGTCAGTATCTGAATCTTATCTTAATAATAATAATAACAGCTTTATTCCAAACAGTATTTGTGGTACAGGTATGGAATTTTCAGCGTGCATTACAATATATTGCATCTAATTACCTCATAAATTATATAAGATTTTAAAATCAAAAAGCAACACCCAAAAAAAGATAAATAAAAAGAAAACAGCGTTGCGTTTACATTTTAAACAATGCACCACAGGATATGAAATATAAAATTGGTGTATAATAGAAGATAAGAACAACAGTGTAATAGTAACGGAGAAAGGAAAACAAAAACTAATGGGACTATTTGTTAGAGTGCCGCAATAAGTTTATCGTGTCATACCTAACGGATTTCTCATCACATAACAGCTGTGCCAGATATGGTATTGTGGAGTTTTTGTATTTGGCGGTCCTAGCATATAGCCGCCTATAGCTGCTTCTAGTTCTACCAGATGAAATGCAAGGAGAGAGCTGCTTGTAGAGAGAATGCTCGGGGTCTGACAATACTGTATTCGCTAGTTTCTTACATGACATTATATGTCTGTCCACAATATTGTTAACTAGTTGGTGCATCGGTGGCTCAGGGGTTAGGACTCTCGCCGAGCATACACATGGTTCGGGGTTCGATCTCCTGCCGACGTACACTTGATATCTATGGTCGGCCTGCGAAATTTGGGCTACCGATATCCATGCTGAAAATTCCATACTTTTACCAAAAATACAGTGTGGAATCAAGCTGTAATCAAAAAACAAAAAATAAAACGATATCCCACTTGCCCTACTAACAACTTTTAGTGCCCTTCTCAGCAAAGCAAAGTCTTTCTGAAGTAGTCCAGGAAAGATTAATGGGGAGGAGTAAAGGGGGATGGGTAGAATACAAGAATTTACAAACTGAGAAAGCAAAGACTGCTTTATGCCAGACTGCCTAAATTTCCTAATGTAGAACGTTAAGCGAAACATCTTTCTAGTAACTAGTAAGATGTGGGAGACCAGAAAGATCGGTGGAAAACTCAACCAAGGTACTTGACACTAGATGTATTTTCAACCTCTGTGCCGTCAATGATAGTGGGGCCATGTGAGCTAACTAGTTGTTGTTGGTCACGTTTACGTCTGAAAGTGAAATTGACTACCTGATATTTAGACGGATTCAGCTTAAGACCGTTTGAAGAGGACCACTGACTAATTTCCGATAGAAAGTTATTTAAATTGGAACAATCTGGCTGAGAGTTGTTGACAGGCATAAAAACAGAGAGGTCATCAGCATACTTTTCTTAAGTATGCTGATGACCTCTCTAAAGCTACACTTTGCAGAGTAACATCCGAAGTGTAAAACACAACGAATCATCAGTAATATCACCTGTCTGTCTGCCTGTCTGTTTTCGACATAGAACTTTGCACACATGTGCGGAAGTTCAAGTCGCCACACTCCGTGTAGCACGCGAAGCAAGAAAAGAAAGTATAAGAAAAGCATAACAGAAACAGTGAGCAGAGATGTGAGACAAAGGAGTAATAAAGAAAAACAAAAGTTTCATTGGAGATCATAAGTCACAAGGAGTGGATGCATCTGCGCCACCTGGCCTCAGTAAATCACTAGTCACGATCCACTGGAATCACTATTCAGCAGTGAGTACAAAGGCTTACATACTCTCCAACAGAAGCACCAGAAGTCTAACAAGCGACTGTTAAAAAGAATTCATGCCATTCTCAGTCTCAATCCCCATGACTGATTTGTGGAAACTTCAGTTTCTTGTTAAAATTCTGTCTCTATGAGCACACCATGTGCAGAAAGTTTCAAAAAGAGGTTAAAGTTAAGTGTTCTGTAGCATACACATTTATATGATTTGCCGATCTCTAAGATACACAGCTTCATCGGGAAAAGGCACGATCGAATCACGGGACTTGTATGCTTTTCCGCCGGATGACATCTGTGAATTCATACCCCCCCCACCCCCGACAAACAAAAAAATAAAATACACGAAGGCGTTATCATCGCGAAAATATATCAAACTTGTCTGCTTTTTCTCCCATAGACAGTTGCTGCTTGGGAATGCATACTGACTATGCAGGATCACACAAGAATAATAACCTTTTAATGGTTTCAAATGCCTGGACACCAATGAAGTAAATTAATCTCCATGGAGAAAAATTCATCTATGAATTTCCTTTAAAAATCTGAGCGAAGAATAAACAAGTATTGGTGCTGGGTAACATGGATCCATTTTATTTCGTTAGTTCTCATCAGCTGCATACAGCCTATAATCTTTAATAAATAAAAATCTAAGTGAAATGTAACAGACTTTTGTCATCAACAAGCATATTGTAACAGTGTCATGTTGAGATAAAAAAGTCAGGATGGTAAGGTAGGTGAAGTGTTAGTATATATATATATATATATCTTGTTAGAGAGAAGTTTCTGGAAAATTAATTGACAGGTTTTTCCTTAGGGTGGTGACTAAACAAATTAACAACAATTACGTAGTTAGACAAGAGAAGATCAAAATTTGGTATGCATTAGGTCAAATGAAGAGATGACGATGTAATATCGTAAGGTCAAACAGAAAAAAAGGAGGGAAGTTGAAAGGAAAACAAAGAGTTATTACGGGATGATTCACTACGGTAACTGAAGTTTAACGACAGATTTCTTGTGGATACATCAGTGAGGTTCCAGCCATTTTATTGCGATAGCCTTAACATACCGAAGAAGACTTGAGCTATTTTGTTTTTTTAATTATTCTGAATGACGCCAGCGCATCTACTCTGTGTCTAGTGTCTATCAGGTGTTTGGTAAATGAAGAGATTAAACTACTTGGCCCCTTTAACCGGAAGCTTCTTGGTAAATATTTGAAGAATCTGATATAGACCCTTCTTTTTGTTCCTCCAATGAAACTGCTCCCACAGATACATATGCTTGGTATAGACAGTTGGAGGTAGCATATGACGGGCATTTGTCGATCTTTGACTGCACCAACGAGTAGGGTGCTCGCAGAGAATCGTCCTGGGCTGTGCTTAGTCTTTTATTTATTATTCCCTTTGAATCGTCGCCTTTGAAGTCGAGTTCGATGAGAATTGGCTTCTTGCTGACCGTAGAGCCACATCAGGTTTCTTACATTCATTCTTACCATATTTGTCATTGAAGCTCTGTGGTTAACCACTTTCTTTCAAGAAATTCTCCAGCAGCATTAGTTGACTTTTTAATTTATCCGGTGGCCATATTCTTTTCGCTCTGGAGAAAAGCGTTTCCACCAGCGTTTGTTAATAACTGACTGGGTAGAAGCTGTTGAAGTTTCAGTAGAGACTGCTCTGTGTGTCTTTACGATACATCGATCTTTCGAGTGTCCTATTCGTTTTCTTCCCCAAGTTTATATCCAGGAAGTGGAAACTGACAGCATCTACGTGCTCCATCATGAAAGTGATACTCAAATGTACATTGCTGAATAAGCCCAATAGAAATGAAGCGAGACGTAAATCATTGCATACAATGAATGCGTCATCTGTGTATCTATAGTAGGCTGTCCGAATTGATTATTCACTTCGTTGTACCTTGAAGCATACTTTCGTTTGACACTAAGTGGCAACTAATATCATGCATGAATCAAGTCCTTTCTTTCGGTGCAGACTGACATGACATAACACTAGTTACTACCTGGTGTCCATTGAAAGTATCCATAACAGTTTAACTGAAGGTCAATCGCGATTCGGAATAGCTCAGTGGTAATGTTTCTGACTGAAACACTGAGTCTCAGAAGCGACCCGAATCCCTTCATGAGTGCAGATGCACGAATCACCAGCATACTTCGAAATATTAAGTCATTTTTACAGGGGAACAAAATAGTGAGAGAAAATACATGATGTTAATTTTGATCAAGAGAAGAACTACTTCAAATTGCATTTTTATCCTAGCTGTTTCTTAGAAGAAGAAAATAACCACAAAGTTATTATAAGCCAGTGAGTTACAGGCAGGAGTGTTTTATAAATGGCTGAATGCATAACTCAAACGGCAACTGTTTGCAACATTTCTATTTCTTGGAGCAAATAACTAACTCTCCAGTCAGTCCATACATTGAAGTTGCAAGAATATAATGTAGGTCTGCTCATATGTGAATATTTTCATTACTCAATATATCCATAGTTTTTTAGATAGTGAGGCGTTATAAAAGTACACTTTGTATAACATTGTCGTAAAATGAGAAATTATATAATCCTGAATAATCACTTACGTTTCTTCTAGTTGAACTTTGAATTGGTTCCATTTTAGACATAATCGCCTTTAACTTATTATATGATGTTGGATATGGTGCTTCACCCTCAGAACGATCCAGCAACCACATTCCATCACTGAATGTATCTGGTGCAGTAAGACTAAACGGTTCACTGAATGATGAGCTTATTGTACGATCTACAGTGCTTATATTTGAAGTTCGGGATCCTACTGTGACATCGGCTGATTTTTCAGAAACACATTTTTCAGATATTGTTTTTCTTGAACTAAATGGAATTGGTGAGATCATTGCGGATTTTTGTCTATTTATCAAAAGAAATAAAAATACTCAAGAATAGAACGTAATGCTAACAGTGAAGTTACAAATTTACCTGTTGTACTTGCATTACTGATTAGAATATAAGTAGATTAATTATTATCATCACAAAAAACAGTTTTTAGACATAAAGTAAGGGATTTCTATGGGCAGATGAGTAACACCATCAATGTAGGTCTTCGCAACATAGCCTAGTGGTAGAAGTTACCGATTGCCCCAACCAAAGATAAAATCTTACACTAAGTGTCAATCCACGCATTGAACTATTGAAACAAACAAAAGTACAAAGCTGTTATTAGAAGGATATTCACTAAGGGTAACTAAAGTGATTAGCAGTTTCCTTACAGAATAAATCATTTTCATACCTATTTAAAATTACCTTCTGAGTGCAAGAGTACTGCTCAAAACAGAAACGGGAGAATAAAAAAAGACCGATCAAAAGATGGTTCATTTTCTTAGGGATATACGTAGTAAATTATAATAGAAATCTGGATCCAACACAGATGAAGAACATGGTGAAGAATGCAAAAATCAATAAAAATGGAGCATGTAATGTGGGAAGATTCTCAGTAATCGTTACCAGAAACAATCAGCGGCAGTATTATTCGTCTTTCAAAGGCTTGAAGAAATCACAAAGACTGAAATAATTGAATTTTCAAAAACAGATTAGGTCTTTGGCACAGAACAAAAGTATAAACCCACCGTGATACAATCACTTTTGTAAGCTAGCTAACATTCAACATGTCCAAACTGGGACCACACAAGTCACCTAAGCTTATTATTACTTAGACAGTTTTGTAATTAAGTGTGACTTCTCACACGAAGGCATGACACCTGGAGAACTATCTGCATTTAAGGTTCTTGAAATTTCATTATGCAGATATGATGCATTTATTGAGAGTTCTTATCATTAAGAGACCTAAAAGTCCCAATTTCGAATCCAGAACTCAATAAAGTTTTCGTTCTTCCCTTCTTATAAATCATTCGAATATTGGATTGATGTAAATGCCAAAGAAAATTTAAACAGCTAATCAAAGTCTTAAATCAAGCCACAGGATCTAAAAATTTGCTTCAAGAAGAATCCCACTAACATCTCATTTTTTATAATTGTTTCGTAATCTTGAAAGATAGTTAAATATAAAATGTAAACTAAATCATGACTTAATTCAGAACCACACAGTACAGGATTGCATGTCTACCCCAAACTATGCGAAATTCATGATCTGTGAGGGTTCACTACGGCTTTATCGTTCAACCAAATTATGAAAGACCGAAGTCAACTAACTGTCAGTGTACCTTAGATCCAAGCATAGGAGGAAACTGACGAGTTCGATAAAAATATTTTACGACATATAATACTGCATTACAATTTAGTCATTTAAGAATTCTCAAAAATTAAAATCTGTGGTCCAAGATAACAGAATATATTTTATGGATTTCACTTAGTGACACTTTTCGCGAGCATGAAGTAGTACACTCCCGAATTTTAAGCGTACTATTTAATGATTGTGCACTAATTGTAAGTGATAAAAGTTCTGGTTTCAGAGATTCGTTAGTTAACCATTAGTGAGTGGTTCAGAAGTACGCACCCACCACGTTTCGAAACTGAGGATCTTTGCGTCTCAAGGAGAGCTCGTAGACCATTAAGCCATTAGGACCCGATCCAATGGCCAGACTTTGAATTCTAACTTCTGCCCAGGTTTTCTAGTGGTTCTCTAACTGATGTCAGCTCATGATGAAATCCTGTAACCAACCAATCGAATCCCTGCAAACCAACATTTGAATATCAATCCGGTGCTCACTAGCGACTCACCCTGTTCAGGTAGGTAGTTACCTGGATTCTATTGGGAAGTTGGGACCAGTGGAGTACAGCAGGTCGGGTGTGATGACAAATACTCGGCGCCAATGACATTGGCTGTCGCTGTATATCATGAATTGGTAGAAGTTGGGATTCATGAGCTGGCCATTGGATAGAGTCCCAGTGGCTTGATGTTCTAGGAACTCGCCTTGAAACCGGAAGGTCCTGGGTTTTGAACCGTGGTGGATGGGTACTGATGAAGAATCCCAAACAAGGACAAAACAGTTATCCTGTACTCCCAAGCTTTCCAATGATTTTCTAACCGATGTCAGCTCATGATGAAATACTTTATTAATTCACCGCCTACACACCATACAACCAAAGTATCCACAGAAAAAAAAATGAAAATCTAAAAGTACTAAAAAAGCAATGCAAAGCAGAATTAAGTAGTCAACTTGCAATTCAAAACTAGTTAAAAGACGCTTATTGCACATTTAGCATTAAGGTAAACACTTAAAAGAAAACAAATATTTTCTTTGGAGTAATAAAAATAAGCCTTACTTGACAGGACTTGACGAATGCGAACGTATTCTGGACCTGAGACTATGATTATCAACACATGATGGATCGGGTGTTGGGATATTACGGCGAACAGATAGTGGTGAACCAGCATTCCTGAAAATACTTTCTTCATCTGGATTGTAAGGCTGCCATTTTAATGTTGGATCTGAAGTCTAGTAGTTAAAGATAACAGCAACTTGTAAATAGGTAGGATTTTAATTCAGTGACATTTACACTGAAAAGAAAATTTTATTCCTGATACTTACTTATATCAAATACAATCCTTACAAAAAGTGCATTCTGAAGTTGGAAGACTGCAAGCTAGATGAGACTTCATGATGAAATGTCCTTAAGCAATTCACAATACTAAAGACTACAAAATATGCTCTGTCTCGGACGATGAGTGAAGTGGGAACTGAGATCATAGAAGCGATTAGATGATATAAACCGTCGATTAATATGCCTAGTTGAGGAACAATGTCCGCCTAACAAATCTGAAGTGTATTCATTATCACATGTTTGTTTTGCTTTATTTCGGGCAGTGCAAGTATAGAGGAAGCCTAAATTAATTCAGTCAACCCATAAAGGGAATTCCCGAATTTGTAACTACGTCTATGATGATGACCTAGATTTAATTTTGTCATCCCGCCGGTGAGTTTTTAATAATAATTTTTATATTTTGGATGAGAATAGTCAATAGGAAGTTAAGAGTATTCGGTTCAATAGAACTTACCTTTATCTCTATACCCCTTGGTGTAACAGGGTAGGGTAATTCATTCTTATTAGGACTATCCATTGGAGTACGTACATGAGGTGCATCTAAACAAGTAGAACGTTCAGGCGAGGAAAGTGGTGTATTGAGACGTTCATGTTGAGCAGATGGGTAAGGACTAACTGACGGGGGAGAAAGTATTGATCCAAGGCGTTCCAATAAAGCGGCTTCAACCAATTGTTGTAGATTCTCCTTTGAAGAAACATCTGTATTTTTCAAATAGTGCGGCATAAGACAAAGTACCATAAACAACAGTTACACTCTCTGTTAATTAGAAGGTGTGACAATTAGCGAAATAGTTATTCAGATGCTTTTACTCAACAATACAATTGAACAAACAGATAATGAAGGTCAAAGTGTTTATCTAGCCGTCAAAACCATATGTAAAATAAACCTGGATTTAAAATTGGATTAGCAAGGCAGGTGTAAAGTAACAACGGACAATTTCTGAACACAAAACAGATTTAAGCCTTTTATGGCTAAGGGCTTCAAAGAATTTAGGTATATGACGCAAACCTGTTTTACACATGGCTTTAAAGGCACCGCTGAGATTCACCGTTTGATGCTTCCTGTGTACATGTGAGCACACACAGATTTAAATTGGTACACACTGTGGGATTATTTAGATAATACCTATCCTCTAAAATTCATTACACCCTATGGAAGAATCAAACAAAAGGCCCCATCTACTGAATAAAACTCCAGAAGGATATTTATATAACCTGCGCCAATCGAGCCTAGAAACAGATGCTCGATGTCATCTAGCACAAACTAAATCACAGCGACAGATCATAGAGCTGATCTACATAGTGTGTTTAATTCAATGTACAAAACAGGTCTGGATTGCATACTTGAACAACTTGAAGCCCTAACCACAGAAAGACTTAAACTTGCTTTGTGTTCAAAAACTACTTGTCAGCATATTGAACTAGCATCGATAATCCAATTTTTAGACCGAAGGTTATCTTACCTAATATGTCACCCTTTTGTAGTATCTCTTATCTGTGATCTTGCCCCCCCTCCCCCCCTTTATAAACATTTTGGTGTATAGAGCTTCTGTGTAGATGTTTCATTTTCTGGGAACTTTTATACAAATATATACGGCAACTACTTGTGTGACCAAAATGTACGAAGTGTGTTGTGCAAATACAGTACACACTTCAGAAAAACTACATCTTATGATATGGTTATGAGCAACAAGCTGTGCTCGAAACGTCATCAGTAAATAACACTGTATATCACTGTGTGATTTTATCAAATAAATTTACTCTATAATGGAATTACACTGTAGCAAAGCCCTATTCTTATTACATTTTATTGTTCCGTTGACATTCATAAAGGTATTTAATTGCTTCGAATTTCAGGAGAGGTAGTGAAATGGCTGAATGTGCTGACTACTTCATTTATCCGGAAAGTTGCATCAGCCTTGATGAATTGATTGCCGCTAAAATCTGAGCAAGGATACAACGGCTGGCTTGGTACTTGTCAACTTGTGTGATCTTTGGCACAGGCGGGATATTCTTATATCCATTAAAAGATATGGGTGCCGCGAACAAGTTCATCTTTTCTCCCTTTATTACTCTGAGATATGTTCATTTAAAGTGGAAGATATAGAAAGAATAGCAGTATTTAATCAAAGATTCGCCTGTTCTTTAGTTCGAGTTTTAAGGAACTTATGTGACAAACAAAAACTAGTGTAGATGCAGAGGAAGATAAGTCAGTCAATAGGACTTTAAAGGTCTACTGAATAATGCCGCAAAGACAAGAACTACTCGTACTAAGCCACTGGCTAACTTGACCGGCAATGTTAAGCCAGGTGGGAATACGTTTATGAGAAGTTCTATATGGTTTGACGAAAATATTACGTCTTTCGATGAAGTCATTGTCAGGTTATTTTCTCTTTGACCTGATTCATCAACAGAGTTGTACTAGTATAAGTTTATTATAAATATTTTTACTTTATTCCTTTGCATTTTGAGTAGAACTAAGGGCTTCGAATTGAGCTTTGAAGTTTCAGTGGCAGTGGTGTTTCTTTTTTTTTGGAGTGGTGTTGCTAGCCTCACGCCCAACCTCCCCTCTTCACCGGTCTCTGTGCCGGCTATGCGAGGTTTACGAGTACATTAGTCGGTGACTGAACACCGGACCATGTACATCGTTGGCGAGCTTTCTATGAGTGAGTCACAGGTGCACAAGGTGGCACAAATCATACGTAAAACGACAACAAGGTACACATTCGAAAATTGAATAGGTATTGTCTACCTTGACTTTGGGACTGATTCTTGTCAGCTGCTCAGAAACCTGAAGCATAAGGCGTGATAGAATTCTGTCTTCCATATCTGTACGTGTTAGCCTATTGGCATCATCCTCATGTTGTCCAGAAGTTTGATTCGATCGAAAATTAAATCCAATACCCTTTTCATAAAGTAAATCGGGTGAGTTGGTAGTGATTTCCTTCAATGACAAAACACAAAAAACAAATGCAAAAATTTTTATTAAAATATATGTAAAAAGGCTTATAAGCATGCTGAATTCCAGTAGGGATGATTTCACTTCATGAAGTAGAGTTCGAAATAAGAGAAATGATGGAGTTGACATGAGGAGGTGTGGTAAAAACTTACTCTTTTTTCAAACATGGTGATTGACAGCAGCCTAAAATAAATTTGAGTGATACATCGTATCACTTAGAGCAAATAAACAACATCAAGGAATATTTAGTATTCTTACATACTTGATTAGGATACTTTGGTAATATGGATTTGTGATTTCAAGGTGTCTTAGGCTTCATGACTTGTGCGTATTCTCTTTGGTGAAAATCGATCACGGAAAATTCATCTGTCGTCATGATAGATCCAGTAATTTTATTAGGACACTGCACTTTCTCAGATGCTGATTTCAGATACCTAACCTAGAACATAACGCTAGACCTGATGACAAAATGCAGAAAACTAATGTGATCTATATGAAGAAATTATGGAGGCAAGTTAGACTTACAAAGATTAGCTACCTAATTTAATTGGTGGATGGTGACCAGCAGTGGAATCCAGAGTGCGCATTTTCTCCTATTCCGGACTCATCAGCTAGATTACCTGCATTTCTCAGTGAGTGATGATATTCCCACCGAGGCTCGACCCGAGTGCCCATAGTTTCAAACGCCAAAGAGTTATCCACTAGACCACTTGGGCCACGAGAGCCACCTCTTGTGCAACGGGTCATATTGATTTAATCGAATTTTTAGATTTTCCCGTCGATTGATTGGACCGAAGTGCTCGGTCTCAGTTTGAAGCTATGGGCACTGGATTCAAGCCTCGGTGGGAACATCATCACTCACTGAGAAATGCAGTGCATCTAGCTGGCGAATCCCAAGTAGGAAGAAACGCGCATTCTAGATTCCACTGCTAGTCACCATCCATCAATTAAATACTAATTAAATGCCCAGACATCGTCGAAGCATCTCCTCAAGAAGTCGACATGTCAACCTGAAACCGAGCACTTCGGTCCAATCAATCGACGGGGAAATCTTAAAATTCAATTAAATTAGCTATCTAATATTCACATGAGATAAATAAAAAGGTGAAACGTTTCATTTATATTACTACGTATTAAAGGCTTAAGTTTGAAAGAACATGAGCGTATGAATGCACTTCTCAGTAAATTACATTCATCTTATGATACTACCTGGTTAGTTGATTCGTATGGCCGGTCATGATACATGTACTTCATACCTCGTTATTTCAGGCATACATACATGTACATACATACAAATAAATTTACTGATAATTAGAAATTCTGCGCTGACACTGCTTCTAATATGTTAAAAAAAAACTACGATATTTCACTTCACAATCTATTTTACGTATATATCAAACACTACTGAGACTCTCTGGCAAAACAACTACCCAAAGAACTTCATCAACAAAATCAACACTGACATTAAGTATGGTCGAAAAAGCACTCCGAAAACATGGGCCTCAACAGTTGTCACTCCATATAGAGCACAGATGTCAGACGATATCAGAAGAATACTCAATCAGCTCGACTTCAGAATTTTCTTGAAAACAATAGACACACTGGAAACCAAACTTGTCTATATATAAGACCGAATCCCTATAGATTCGCTATCCAATTGTGTCTATAAAATAAAATACTTGGAATGTGATGCGATATACATCGGACAAACATCTCGAGAAATCAAAATCAGAAGAAATGAACACAGTAGACCATCTGTTCGACCACCGAGAAATCCAGTTGAACAAGTCATAGGTCTACACGCTATAGATTCCGGCCACAAAATTGGTTTTGACAATATTATAATCATCATCCAGGAAAATTTCAGAAATCACAAAGAACGTCTAATAACAGAAGCACTTCACACCAAGTAGAATCGAAATTGTCTGAATAGGAATGATGGACTACAAGAGAATTTGACCTGGTTACAAACCCCCCCCCCCATGAAGTGACAAAATCAACACGAATGTGATAAGCAATTTCATTATGTAAACACACGCCGTTTTTGCAATTTTATACACTTATTAAATCCAACAATCTACACCTGTTGTTGTTATCTTTACCAACTGGCCAATTTGACAATGATGATTATGTTGTTATATATAGGGTGAGCTTTTGTAAATTCTGGTCTAATAATACTTTGATAAAGCTATTGATAGCATTAAACAGAAAAACGTCAGTAAAAACAGCAATATCGTTTTGTTTTTCATTGATTGGGAAATACAAAAAACCTTTATTATAATGAATATCATATACCCAAAACCCACATTTTTTCAAACTGTTAAAAGTGAACTTGGTTTGGATGTATATAACCCTAGCTACCTGTAGGTAACTGTCTGTATTGTAACATTATTATCATAAGATTGTCTGTGCATTTATGATCAATTCATGCAACATAATTGGTATAACTCCTCTGTATTAGTCACGTATTAATCTAAATTTTGAATCTATGACTTCACTTTTGTCTTCCTTGAATTACAACATTACTATACAGGTGAAGGGAGACGAAGTCATTCTATATACATCCTATTCCAAAGCAAAAGTCCTTGAAAAATGGGGAATGAGACAGAAAAACGGTAAATATGTACAGGAATTTATTCATAACCTTAACATTCCCTCTAAGAGCCTTCATCATCCAGCGGATAATGTTATTGAATTTAAAACAATGTTTGATGAGTTCAGATTTCATTGGGAACGCCACTATTGACTGAAGATGTGAGTACATTCATCTGGTGAGTCCCAAATAGGACAAAACGCGAGTCATCAACTCCAGCACTAGCCTTCTTACAACAGCATAACTATGTATTGATATAAAGACACTACTGCTGAAGTGTCCCTACAAACAGAATCCATACGTCAGCTAGTAGTGAACTTTGCGATTCTATCGAAACCAATCAACAGGAAATTCGAAATAATAATTTCAATAAATAATATCATCTCGCTTATTTGAACTGTGTGCTTCTGATTTTCAGTATCATGAAAATAATAGGCGATGGATGATGAAGGCATCACTGATGTATTTCAGATATTGTTGTAGTGATGGATAACACCAAAAATGTCATTCCTAAAGAGATGAGTAAACCTACGTCAATTTTAACGATCATTTTTGTTACAAATTACATAACCAATTATAACTAAGTTATGTAACTACGACTTTTATAATATTTAATAAATATATTATTACTATAATAATAATAATAAAAGAATGACATTGGCAGTGATGATAACAAGCAACTGATAGTGTTATACACTAAGAGATTAAATACCTTGTCACTAATTCCTCTCAGTATGTTTACTTCTTCATCATTAGTAGGCTATAAAATATTTAAACAAGTCAATGTATGTTTACATTCATATGCAATTTCAAATTAAATCAACTCAGAACAAAGCACAACTTAACGCGTAACGTCTCTTACATAATTTGAACATGATTTCGATGAAACACACTTAATAGGTGATGTCTGAGTTGACTTTATTTCTTGTTGTATTGATCTTGAAGTAGTCTTGAATAATAAACAGAGCAATTAAGTAGTATGTACAAAGTACTAACTTATATGTTTAGTGTAAACCTGACAACTACAAAAACCATGCACCAAAGTACATAACACAATATTTTTCACGGTTAAGGGAATATGGTATATGATGCAGATTTCAGGGTGACAAACACACGTTCTGCTCTTTCAATCTTATCCTGGCTGATTTGAACACATTCAACCGTTCCGCATGTAGGGGGAACAATGCTTTCCAGGTAAGCGGAAGAAAAAACTGCATTCAGATTTCTCCCACTGATGATGATCCTTGGTGCTTCCTGTTGCCGTTCGGTATCTTCATATTCTCTAACTTTTCTATGCTCACTGAAGTCACGTCTTCATTGATTTTTATACGAATTATAAATCTTCGTTTTTGTGAGACAGCAGGCATTTTATGTCATGATCCAATTGTAGACTGAATAATGAAAAAACGAACATTGGCAGGATAATACCGGCTCGTTTCACCTCGTGTATTCTCTTCAATTGCTTACATCTTAAATAAAATCAGTTATAAGTTTCAAAATTTCTGACTTACCTTTTACAATGACTTCAAGTTATAGGTAGAAAGTATAAGCAACATAATTCCAAAAATGATATTAGTAGACAATTATTTAGTGTTAAAAGAGTAACTATTTATAAAGTAATTAGACAAGTAGGTAGAGTTCAGATTTTGCTTGGACTAGAGACAACAACACAGTGAATTTATGGTGGAAAGTTCAGGAGGGTGGGTGGGGGTGAATAGTCAAGTTAAATTCTGTATAACGCAAATACATCACATTTTTCAGATAACCTTCGTCTTCTAATAAAACTGTTCAAATTTATAAAAGGGACTAATTATTTTAAAAGTAGATAAAATAATTTAATGTAGGTGATTTGGAAGCTTAATAGTGGGTACAACTGAGTAGGAGAAAATCAAAATTGAGTAGAATGTTATGCAACAGCAGAAAACACAAAAGCACATGTGCGAAACAATCACGGTTACCAGGGTAGTGAGAGGTTAGTCACGCTATCTTTCTGTATGCAGGGGATGGGTCCAGGTCATTTGATGGCAATAGCTTCTGCCAACCACAGGAACCATGGTTTTCTTCATGTTATGATTATTTTGTAAGCCTGACTAATTTCCGATTCATGTTCCGTGTCAATTAGGTGTTTCACTTGAAAACACTTTTCTCCCTTTCATTTGCAGATCTTTAAGGATATGCTCGAAAAACCTACCAGATGCTCTTCTCTCAGTCCTTCCCATGTATTTGTTTCCAGAAGCGTAGGTGAATTGGTAAATGCAATTGGAGTTTACATGAGCAGGATACTTATCTACTTTTGACTGGATTAACCAGCATACTGTGTTGGAAAGTGGAATGAGTTTGGTGGCGGGAAATGTTCTTTTTTTAATGCACCTTTAATTATGTTTTCCGTTTTTATGGATACTTTTTTCACCATTGTAAACTACACAGGTAGAAACTGGTTTCTTCTCAACTATTTCGGGTTTCTGTCTAGGTGGTTTTTCTTCCCCATATTTCGATATCATCTTCCTAGGGTATCCATTTTCGATAGCTGTTGTTGCTGTTTTTTCTATCTTGTAATTTGTCTCTAGTCCAAGCAAAATCTGAACTCTACCTACTTGTCTAATTACTTTATAAATAGTTACTCTTTTAACACTAAATAATTGTTACTAATATCATTTTTGGAATTATGTTGCTTATACTTTCTATCTATAACTTGAAGTCATTGTAAAAGGTAAGTCCAGAAATTTCGAAACTTAATTGATTTTGTTTAGGTGAAACGAGCTCGTATTATATTCTGCGAAATGTTCGTTCTTTCATTATCCGAAATAGTAAAGGGAACCGGCTGTACCAAATTCTAGAGGTTCAGTGATCTCCATAATAGGTTTGGTTATTTCCTTTTGCAATTATATGAAATTATGTAAATGAGGCTGACAGAATTAATCATTCATTTACGTTCATGTGAAAAATAAACACCGGTAAACTATTTTGAGAAAATGAATACATTTTGTATGCTTATTTGATCACTTTACAGTTGAAAATAAATTTTAAACAGTGATGAGTTGTGATTAGTCTGTGTATAAACTTCGAAAATGCACTATGATACAAGCAAACAACAATGGAGTACGGTTAATTCATAGTGGTAATACTATTATGCAATAATAGTGATATGCATTCCTTTGAACCAAAATTTAAGAATGACTGTGATTTGTTAGTACCATGATAATGATGACATCCAATGGTGACGTTGGTAGTTTTGAGTACTAATTTGATATACTGTTTGTTGGCATTTAACTGGGAAAAATAATCACGTATATAGACGTAGTAACATATTCATTCACACAAGAAGATCAGATACAGCTGTATTTGTACAAATTTAGGAAGTAGTAAAGAACTAGTAGGCCAGAAGATTTAAATAATTTTTTATTTTTGGATTTACAGCTTGATTCCACACTGTATTTTTGGGTACAAGTATGGAATTTTCAGCATGTGATATCGGTAGCCAAATTTTGCAGGCTGACCATAGAGATATCAGGTGTGCATCGGCAGGGGATCGAACCTCGAACCATGTGCATGGTCGGCGATAGTACTAGATATGAGCTATTGGAAACGGTTTGAGACAATTTTTAAGTGTCATCAACCATTGGTTGTTAGTAAACTGTGTCCTTCAGTATGGTAATCCTACACCTATTTACACGGCTCAGACAAATGATCAACCACCCCACAGACTGCTTCTAAGTTTCACTATGAATAACCGCAATTACTCCCTATTTCAGTCCTACTTTAGTGAAATGGTTCCTCAATGATGATGGTCCTCTGGTGTGCGTCAGAGCCATGTCTCAGTTGCCTCAATCGACAAACATTTAGAATCTCGTTATTTAACTTACCTTTCCTCAACATCTTTTCACTCAGTGACATAATTTTTTCATCTAACATGAGTAGCTGAACAGAGATACCACCTGTGATCGGATATCTGTTACAGCTGGTTCCAGTTAAGGTGAAATAGTTATAAGTAAACGTGAGAGAATAACAAATGAATGAATACTTATGAAAATAAACAAATCAACAAGGAAACAAACTAGTGAACATTAAAAAAAAATATAAAACAAACGCAATGAACACTTTTTAAAAATGAAAATTACATCGTTTTCTAAATTAAGTGTATTGTTTGATTGATTCGACTGTTCAGTTATAATATCCGGGCTATTTACGGGTGTTTGTGCATCCCCAGAATTCTGAGACGTAAGCATAGCAGTAACAAGAAAACAATACTGTAAATCAATAAGTTTAACACATCCAATACATCCTACTATATCATCTTCAGTGGCTAATTAATGCTAAGTACTTCTTGGGTATTATTTTCTTTACAAAAATTCGCTGAAAACTCAAGAAATCTAGAATTCAACATACATAAGTCACATGATGTGCATCTTTTTCATACGACGACTGAACACAGAGGAGGAAGTGGAAACAACAATTGGTCAGAAAGTGTAATCCTAGTAGGTAGATCAGAAAAGTTGAACTGATTGATTACTCTACTAGTTATCAACAAAAGTATCATACGATATCTGTGCTTAATAAAACCAATCAGTTTAATAAATTTGGATCTTATTAAAAAATGAGGAGAGGATCTAAAACATGGACAAAAGAATAGTGAAAATGTTCAGGAGTTTAGGGGTAAAATTGAAGCCAATTTGTCTATCTATGTCCATGGTTCCTCAATGTCAGCAGTCTCTAGGGCACACAAAATCTCTTATCATGTTTGAAATTAGTATGGAATATTGTGCTAATCGGAATAAAGATTTTAAGAAGCAGTCACTGTTGTTGATTTGTTGACATGAGATCCCCCTTGATACCACAGAAATGCTTTTGCCTTCGGCTCAGCTTGCTACATTGGCACCAAAATCACCCGCTAAGTTAACCACGCCTAAGTATTTTACTTTTAGCAGCAAACTAGACAGCTTCTTATCAAACTCATCCCTTAATGAGCCTGTACAGGATTTAGTGGTTGTTTAAGCCGAGTTTATCAAAGGAAACCTTTTAACATTCATTTGATAAAAAGTTACCATTTTTCATGGTATCTTGACGAGAAAATTTAGATGTCAAACATTTTGAAGATTAATTTTTTAAAATTCCTTTACGTCCCCAGTGGAACACTGGGATTCAAGTTTCGGTGGCAGTGTGTTTATTTTTACGGGATGGGGTTGCTAGCCTTTTGCCCAACCTTTCTTCTTAACCAGTTTTATTACTTGTTTAGAGAGGTAAACAAGTGTGTCGGTCGGAGATTGAACCCCGGACCACATGCATGGTTGACGAGAATCCTACCCCTGTGCCACTGACGCACAGATTAATGATAACTGTCAATTCACACTATGCACACTATGAACAGTCAGAATCAAACAGAACACTCTGTTATCCCAATAAATTCAGAGTCTTCATTTAACCTTCAATAAAAGTACCCGAGGAGAAGTTGTCAGTGAATCAATAAATGACATTTCGCAACAGAAAACGTCTTGAATTTGAATATTTCCCTGACAAATGATAAAAATCCGTCAGCTTTTCTCAAGTGCTATGCAACTTAATTATACTTACCCTATTTAACTGTTCAGATGTTTGTTTAGACGGTATTGACACGGAATATTGATACATTCCTAGTGGAATAATGCCAAACTTAGATTTAGTTGACGCGTTCGTTTGCATTCTAGCCAGTTTCTCTGAACTTGGAATATACATTTGTTGTGATTCACCTGATTCACTCTGTCCATATTGGTCATCGTCTATAAATCGTACAACTTTTGTATTTGTTCTTGACATGCGTTCACGTGGAGATGAAACTAGTTGGTTTACAGAGAAACAAGTAGAAAAATATTTGTGAAGAAAGTATTTATAAATCAAATCAAAAAGTTGATGCTAAGTGATAAGAACGTATTTGTATATCTGTTGAACATTAAGGTTAACATTGGTCCCTTGAATCCCTTAAATTAGTATTTCAAGACGACTTTTCACAACTACTGAAATCTGTAATATCCAGATAAAGTACTGAAAACAATGGAGTCTAAAAAGCAACGGGCATTGACATCTTCCAGAATAACGCTTAGATATTTGCTACTTAGAGACGAGAACGCTACGATTCTTTCACTGGCTTGTACTTCAATAGTCTACAGTTTTCAGTTTTAGGTAATTCGTAATATACAGTGGTTGTCGGTGTGGTGATAAAATACAATGGGAGTATAAAATGCGAATGTTGAATTTGATACAATGGAATCGAAAACTTTCTACGTAAATAATCTGAGCGAAACACACTTCCATTATTCAGTATTTCGGTTTCATATATATAAGCTGGTTCTATGTGGCCGTCGCCAATCACCCAACTTAGATAGTTAACTGTTATCTTTCACCATTCATAAAGCCGAGTCTTAATGCAACAGTGATTTGGTCAGCTATTTAAGTTAAACATTTTGTAACCGGTAAGTCAGGGTATTTCCTACCTCAAAGTGTTTTTCGCTTAGAAAACCCAAAAGCAGGTCCTCTTTCCAGTTGTGTTGTTGAACAAATTATTCATGCTGGAAACTGAATTTACCCACAGGTCAATTACAGTGACTTCATAGTGTGATAAGTGTGAATCTCCTGAAACATTCAGGAATACATCTTCTGCATGGCATTCCGCATATTGAAGTGAAACTTTCGCAAACAAAAAAGTGTTTATGCAATTCTGAGATTCGGAAAGGGTGAAACTATTCTGAATATTTTAACTTACAAGACTAAGAATCTTTTCTCTCATTTTGTTCTACAATAGGAAGCCTCTTCCCTTCCATTGTTTTACAATTCTGATTTTTCATTGGTAAACTGAAATCTATTATTTCAACTATGATATAGCGTATATAGCTAAACAATAAGTAAAGAAATAGTCCAATAAGTTACTAGTGTCATTCGCATTATTGAAGCTTAAGTTTCATAAATTACTTGGTCGATAAGAAAACACTGGAAGAAAAACACAAGAAGTTTGACCTGGATTTAGGAATACTCAACATCTTTGAAGCTGATTACTGCATTTCACGTATACAACAAATTGTTAGAACACTCAAATACACTAACAGTATTAAAGGGTTGTAACTAATCTCTGTTAGTAGCCAACTGACCCTAAAATTTACTTCACTCAAGGGAGGGAAATGAAATAACATTCATTTAATTGACCAAACGAATGGATTCTTAAGTAAACAAGAATAAAGATGTTTTAAACGTACTTCCTGCTAGATTTTCATCACTTAAACGTAAGACAGCCGTGCGTGGTCTAACAGGATCATTAATTGAACGTGGATATAATGGGCGCTTAGCTCGTCGCCTATTCAACCGCCAAGGATAGGTAAGTGTAACAGGTGACGGAGAACGATCAGTAAAAGATAGTTTGGAGTGATGAAATAATTCGACAATATTTCTTGATTTAGATGGAGAAGTATACGGTTTTGATGACTCTTTGGTAGCTGCTTTAGACTGAGTAATACTTCGTGATTTAGGCTGAGTAGTGGTTTTAGTGCTTGGTCTTGATATTCGAGTAAAAGAAGTAGGATGTTCAAGTTTCTGAAGAAAAATTAAACGAATGGAAATAAATGCATAACTAACTTAAATGTTAGATATCATGAAAAAACTTCATCCCTAGATCAATCTGAAAGCAGTTGTATTCCAACATGAAATGACAACAATAAAATTCTGACAATTTTTGATATTTTTGAACTTACTTTATGAACTACTGAATGAGTTAATACATAGACGAGGTTTCGGAATATGCGTGAATGATCAAACAACGTTCATACGTACAAATAAAGCTTATTGGATTAACAACTAAATGCACACAGGTGCACAGTAGTAATTTCGAATATACACTATGACTACTGCCAAATAGCAGGTAATATGTTATTCTAATTCAGTATATTTCAAATGCACTCTGCGACTTTCAGTAATCACTAAGATATTCAGTGTAATGAGATATTATTACTTTTGACGGCCTGATTAAATCACTGGGCTACCTAAATTTGGGCAATGGGTGTATGCTATTCATTATTGTAAAGTTTTTGTATTTCCTGTTTAAACTAACGTTTCGTTTATCAAATCCAACTATCCAAAGTTGATTCTGCTGTCTTTACCAATTGACCAACTCGACAACGCTAAAATGATCTTGATGCTGATGAACGATGGCTAAGTTATTACATATAAGCTGAGATTTTGTAAATTCAGGTTTAATAATACTTTGATAAAGCTACTGACAGCATTAAATGGCGAAACGTCAGTAAAAACAGCAATATCGTTTTGTTTTTCCTTCATTGGGAAATACAAAAACTTTTATGATAATGAACTTGTCTATGACATTTAAGATACAATTTTTATTACGAAAAACACGTCGCAGTTATATATATATATATATATATATATATATATATATATATATATATATATGATATCCTTTAATTCCAAGAGGAACATAGGGCTTCAACCGCGCGTCTCCATTGCGTTCGATTTTCTGCCAACGTTTTCACCCCGCTCCAAGTCTGCCCACACGCTTTCATCTCCTCTTCACCCGATCTCCTCCAAGTCACCCTCGCACTGACGACCAACTCGCCGCCCGCTTCCCTTTCGGGTTCCACTCGAGCAATGGCTTGTCTAGTGATGTCACTTGATGGTTTCCTCACAGATCCCTGTTGCTGATCTCTTCCGGCCGGCCATTTGATCTTGAGTATGGAGCGAAGACAACTGTTAATGAAGGTCTGTAGTTTGTTTGAGATGCTTCTCATGACGCGCTGGCCAAGTCTCTGATCCGTATAGTAGCACTGACTGACTTCACTTTGGAGTTGAAAATCCGGATCTTATTTTTGATTCTGAGTGCTGTTGACCTCCACACAGACTCAAGAGTAAAGAAAGCTTGTCTTGCTTTTCCCATTCTTGCTTTGATATCCTCGTCAGTTCCCCCGTCTGTAGTTGAAACGATGCTTCCCAGCTACGTAAAGGAGGTTGTTCCTGGCTGATTGTTATCTGTTGTTGTTGCTGTTGCTGTTGGTGGTGTTGTTCAGGAATCTTCACCACCTCTGTTTTATCTATGTTCACCTGAAGTCCTATCTTCTCTGGATGCCTCTTCTGCCAGCTTGTCGCTTTTCACTTGCATATCTTCCAGTTTGTGGGAAATCAGACATATATCATCGGCGAAGTCCAGATCCTCCAGGTCCTTTTTGTGTGAGTCCATTTTATGCCTGTTTCCTTATTGCCCGTTGTCTGTCGCATTATCCAATCTACTGCAATCAGGAAAATCATTGGCGATAGTAGACAGCCTTGTCTCACTCCCGTCCTCACTTTAAAGGCTTCCGTAAGTTTCCCGTTGTGGATTACTTGCCATGCAGCATTGTCGTATAACTGTTGGATGAGAAGTATTATATATATATATATATCGTTAAATTGGGCTCGACGGCAGTAGAAGTAGATTGTTCCAACTGATAGGTAAGGTGGGAGAAAAATAAATATTCTGACCAAGATCAAAGTGAAAAAACGACGATGAAATTTTACGGTCATGCAATCACACCATGAATCATAAGGTGATTACTATTTTAAGCTGAATCTCATAAAGCGAACCTAAGATATCCCAATTTATGTATGATAATTAAACTCTCTTGATACAGTGAAAAAAGTAATTGAATTCATATTACTAATAATATAACAGAAAGAAAGTAGCTCTCTCAGACAATATTTAGCAGGCTGAAATAATTCATTCATTTTATTGAAGGTGAAGCGGCGTGCTTAAATCACAGAGTATGAAATGAGTCAAATTTACTCAATTTACCTTGTTTCAACCACCTAACTCCATCCTTCAAGGGCAAACGGTATCGAAGCGCATTTATGCATGGCTTTCAGTATAAAGACAGGTCTATTATGGAGGGACAAATGCGTTTGGCGGATGTGGGGTTGAAGCATTTTTCAGATTGAACAATATTCCACCATATGAAATATTGTCAATTACTATTTTACTTGAAGAATTTGTACAACCAGTCAATAAAACACACTGAAAATTCGGTGTTGTATGTAAATATAACGCTCAGAAGATTAGGAATACCTGCCAATATTGTCAGCTTTAAAAAGCTCCTTACTTTCTTCAAATCTTTTAAAATTACACAGGAAATAACCTGTAGAATTCTATCCTGTTTATTAAAATACCTAACTTGGAACCAAAAATAAGCGGATTAAGTCTTTAGTCCTACAATTAATTTTTCAAGGATCAAGTCTTAATTATCAGTCCTCCAGGACAATTATTTATGTGGTAGCTCAGTTAACTCGCATGAATTATACATATAATACAAGAAAAAATATTCACAAAAAACTTACTTTTTCTTGTGTTACCTTATCAATGGCGTCATTGATCATAGCTTGTATACGAGCTTTCTCAGCCGATGATCTGTAAAAATATCATATTTATCATTAGAGCATATTATGAATGGTGTTAGCATGACGTATGTATATATGTATATTAGGATTTTGTAGGGATATCGATTCCCTTCAGTTTAGATTTGAACACTTAGCAACATCAGTTGCAGATCACTGAAAACCCGGGAGCAATGGACACTTGTTTTGTCCTAGTTTTAAACTCTTCATGACTGTACACCCACAACTCTACCAGGGATCTACCTGGAGACTTTAAGGTTGAGAGGCCAAACTGCCTGACTATTCAGTCACTAGACTGTAAACTGTTGAAGATTCCTACACAGGGACGAAAAAACTTTAAAGTTTTACATAATCTATAACATACTGATTTGTGACAAAATCTAAATTGAATTTAATCCAAATCCCGACACGGTTAAATGATCTAAAAGTCAATCTCCAGTTCACCAATGGCTGCCACGAGACAGATGCCTTGAAGCTGTACTGCAGATTCGTGACTACTGGAGTCGACCAGTGTCAAGTTGACGTTAAGGATCATCGAAGGCATTGGTTGATGGTACCTCTATATCACGAAGTCAGAATTCACAGGCCATCAAATACCGGCCCAAATGACTGAATAATCACAGAGGTAAATCTTTCATGTGCCAACGGAATTTCCTAGTTTTTTTAATCACACTATTATACCACTGTACAATGATCACTCTTACTTTATACAAGGCAGTTGGTGTTCATGTGAAGAGTTAAGTTAAAATGAAAACAGCGTAAAAAAGAATTGCCTAGAGTGATCCAACAACGAGTTCCAATCTCCATGATGCAAGAAAACGTTTTATTTCAAGTCGAATGTCTTCTAACTACTAAATTCTTTTACATCGTCACTTATCAATAAACTTCAATAATGTATTCCTAAATGTTTAACGGGAGAAAAGTAAAACTGAAAAGTTCGACACTAAAGTAGATTGCCCTGAAAATTATGTTTTTGTTTAAATTGTACTCCTTGACATTTCCAGTGGAACATAGGACTGCAAGCTAGAGCTTTTCAAGTTTTAGTAGCAGTGGTGTTTAAATTTTACAGGATAGGGTTGCTAGCCTCATGCCTAGCCTGCCCTTTTGCCTTGCTTACTACGGCCTAAGAGAGGTAAAGATGAGTTAGCGGGCCGGGGATTGAACCCCGAACCACTTGCGTGGTTGGTCAGTGTTCCACCACTGAACCACAGACGTAGAGCAATTAAATTTGGCAAAGAAAGTTTTTACCGAAGAAATTATCTTCAAAGACAGTATAGTTTTATTTATATTTACCAAAAACGTATTGAAGTATGTTGTTGTTTTATAGGGATAGATACCTTATACAATTCTGATGTAGTTTTGTTCTCTGAGCTGGATGACTTACTTGTGAAGCTTTCATTGCCCTACTGGGCAACATCTTCAGCGCGTACTTCAATTTGAAGCGGGCTTTTGGATTTCTCCACGAGTTTATTATTCATCTCAAATGAAAGCTTCGCAAGTAAATCATCCAGCTCGGAGGACAAAACTACATCAAAATCAACCCGCTGAGCTACACCTAGTCTTCTCCATTATATCTATACCTTCTAGAATTATTAGAAAATGATTCCTAAAGATAAAAAGTAAGTATGTAGTAGTCAGCGACACAATCGGAGGAAAGGTTCTCGATTTGGTAAAGGTAGAAGCTTTTATACGATAAGAAGCAGTGTAGTAGGATGTCCACTTGACAAGTGTAAACAGAAAAAGAAAGGTAAAGATGTTTTATCGACAAAGGGAATTCTCCTGGCTGAAATATCCCTTATTTTTTTATGAATCAGGGGTACTTTCGGTGCTTATCACTTTTTATCCTACACTTTGGATGAATATAACTCTTAATTTGCTATCACAGTAAATAAGTGCCTACCAAGATAATAATAATAATTAACATACCGTAACAAGTAGACGATAATCTCAAGGCTTCATTCCACATATATAAGCGATTATAAGTGTACTGGATTCTGAGGCCAAATACTTCCATACTTATCTACCTTGACTATTTCCCAGACATTAGGGGCAAAATTTATTCAGTAAAGACTAACAATGTTATACAGCATTTTAATTACTGATGTCGTTTCAAGCACAATTTATTGCTCATAATCACATGATATGGGGTATGGTTCTTATGTCCTAGGCACTATAAACACGGTAGTTTTAACAGTGACAGTTCACTGCAACTGAAACCATATTCACGGGATTAGTAGTGGGCATTAATCTGTGTATAAAGATATCCTGGCATATTTAGAGGCTATAGGACATGTCAGTCAAGCGTAGTGAAAACATCCTTCACTTAAGAATTTTTTCGCAACGATTGTGTTGTCAATTCATACATTAGTTGATATCAGAAGTAATTTGAAAGAAATCAATTAAGGTGTGAGAAGTATCATTTAGAAAATACAAAAGTATTCCCATGGAAATCATTTAAACAAATAATTCAATAATCAACAAACTTACTTATCTTTACTCATTAAATCTAATAATCCAAATATTGACTGATCAGTATGAGAAGATTCTAATGTAGCGAGATTATTTTCTAAATTATTACGTCTTCGATTTACATCAATTAGGGCTGTTGTAGCTTTAACAATCGGATCATCAGACAAATTAGATATAACTTGGGAGATTTCATCAGGTGTTGCCATTGTTTTCCCAGAATATTCCATGGCAAGTCGAATACTGGGCAGCAGGCTGCCAGGAGTAAGTACAGGTTGGGAGTTTGACAGGACCACATGTTGATCGATATTCTACAAAGAATGACATAGAAAATCATCCGCATTTTATAGGTTTATGTATGGAATTTTTAATTATCATTAAAAATGGTATTCATCTTCTCAAAGTAATCCGTTTTGTACATGATGACCACTCCTGAGCCCTTATCCGATTCTGTTATTATTTTTACATTTTTGCGTAGATTATCCAGAGCTTCTCTGTGTTTTTGGTTAAGTTACTATACGAATTGCGTTTACTGTTCATGTAATAATAGCAACAATCGACCAGTAATGATTTGAGTCTTTCAACATCTTCCGTTGATGAGGGTGTTAGGCCTTCCGTTTGGGTGTAGAGACTTTCGAACTGAATTTGTGCGTCCATTTTGTTGAATTTAACATGACTATCACAAAATTTAGGGCCAAGCGATACAACCTATAGATCCACTTCACTTAGTATTACTTCCAAAAAATTAAACACAAAACGATTTGGGTTCGGAGGAAACCTTGTTTCAGGTGCCTTGTTCTCTAAGCTCTGTACCAGCTTCATGCGTTTCTTTTCTTTCCTATTACTCACAATTACATCCACATAATCTAAAAATAGTTTTTTAGGTTTTCTGGTAATTCATCGACAGCATAGAACCTTTTTGTTACGTTCTTCGATAGCTCAGTAATACACGATTGAATTGAGTCAATTTGGTTACGTGCATGGCGTTTGGGTGTCTTATCATTAGAATTCATGGGCCATTGGATCAGGTCCCAGTGGCTTAATGGTATACGAGCTCGCCTTGTAACCAGAAGGTCCTGGGTTCAAATCCCGGTGGATGCGTACTGCTGAAGAGTCCCAAACTAGGACGAAATAGCCGTCCAGTACTCCCAGGTTTTCCAATGGTTCTCTAAATGATGTCAGCTCATGACGAAATCATGTAACCAAAGAAAAATAAAAATCGCCCGATTAATGCCCATGGAATTATTTGATTTCAAAGTACCTTTCACTACTAATCGACACAACTTCTGTGACAGAGTTGTTTTCTTCCATCCGTAAACATAAATGATATATATCCATATAATATGTGTGTTTGTTTGACAGTCTGTATATTTGCTATGTATGTATGGATCGATATTCCATTATAATTAGCCAATCATGTTAAGACTGTCTATTGATTTGTTCATTTTGAATATTCGCTCACACACTTGTTCGGACATTCTTATATTTTGCTCTCACACACTTGTGTGACATTGATTCTCCTTGTGTTTGGAAAATAGAAGTATCATCGCAAACCTAGTGGGCTTCTGATTTCCGTCTTTCTTTGCGTCAGGACTATTAAATTCTCGACCAGTACATAAGAATAACCTATGACAGTCATGTATAAGATAGTCTGATTTTGTTTGTAAAAGTGAAAAAGTACTAGTTTTCTGTATTACCCAAGTAAAAAGTTCCTTAATGCTAGTAGACATGATATATATTAATCAGGCTATGTTTATAAATGAAATAGCTATGTAGATTTCTCAGTACTGTCTCCTTTCATGAGCCGTGACGGTAAATGATATTTCACAACAAGACCTGGCAATCTGTTGTCAGCTGCATTCCACACTTAGATATCAATGAATAATTTTCGATCATTTAAAAATTTAGTGGTTGACCAATTACCTACAATCAATTATAGGAGCTACTTTTAAACTGAGCAGTCCTTGTTGTAGTGACCATCCGAACTTCATTTGAATTGCATGCTATAAAACTAATTCTATTGTTTTAAGTCGCATGGCTCACTGGATCACAGTATCGGGTGAAGATCACACTATGGTAATCTGCCTGGTGTTGTTGGAAGTGAACCGCCCTTGACTGGTCAAGTGAAGATGAAAACTGGCCCAGTGTTTCTTAGAAATTAACACCTATAGAAGTGCTGATGGAAAGAGACTTTGAATACGGGTCACAGGCTTGTTTACTCAACTGAGGTGAATTTTCCAAATAGAACTTTGCACAAAAATGGAGTAGTTCGAGTTGTCACAAATTTCAAAGTATGCGTAAATATAGAGAGTGAGAGCTATCGTTCCTGATAATGTGATTGAGGATGAGAATAAGGCTGTTCATGATAACTTAATTGAAAATGGGTTTACAGAAATGTTCATAATACAGAACATGACTAATTAAAACCTTATTTTTTTGCGGAAGTACTTTTTATACGATTGCAATTTAAAGGTGACACACCAAGGTAAGCAGTACTAAACAAGTTAGGAAAATAAATTCAAAAAAACTTTTAGTGTTAGTAAATTTATATTTTCAAAACTGAAGGACGAAGTGCTGGAAAAGCCAGACTAATTCAACTACTCCTGTGGAGACCTAAGAGCCCGGAAACATTTACCAGTGTGGCCAAATAAAGGTGTGGTAAAAAACGCAGTTAGATGTTAGCATACTTGGTCCAAATAGACCACAAGGTTAGCATAGAAGAATATTTTTCTATCATTTATCCTGTAACTAATAAACCACCTAAAGTCGATAGGTAGCACTGAATACTGCAGACAGCGGAATCCATAGAAATTCGACTAAAACAACCAGGAGTTTGTGTACGAAAGAAACAATCCCAGCCATTATCGCTGCCCTAAACTGCTGTGGAATCTACAAATTCCTAAATTCATACTTTCCTTCCTTCCTTCCTTTAAGTACAAATTTCTCCTATCCCTTGGCTACTACTACACTTGTACAAATAAATCTTTTATTTTCCTAATTCATACTTTGTTATTTAATTACAGCCTGACACACAAACAAACGCAAACACATATTTGACCTCTTAATAATAATAATAATATTAACAGCTTTATTCCAAACGGTATTTATGGTACAGGTATGGAATTTTCAGCGTGCATTACAATATATTGCATCTAATTACCTCATAAATTATATAAGATTTTTAAAATCAAGAAATAAATAAATAAAAAAACAGCGTTGCGTTTACATTTCAAACAATGCACCACAGGATATGAAATATAAAATTGGTTTATAATAGAAGATAAGAACAACAGTGTAATAGTAACGGAGAAAGGAAAACAAAAACTAATGGGACTATTTGTTAGAGTGCCACAATAAGTTTATCGTGTCATACCTAACGGATTTCTCATCACATAACAGCTGTGCCAGATATGGTATTGTGAAGTTTTTGTATTTGGCGGTCCTAGCATATAGCCGCCTACAGCTGCTTCTAGTTCTACCAGATGAAATGCAAGGAGAGAGCTGCTTGTAGAGAGAATGCTCGGGGTCTGACAATATTGTATTCGCTAGTTTCTTACATGACATTATATGTCTGTCCACAATATTGTTAACTAGTTGGTGCATCGGTGGCTCAGGGGTTAGGACTCTCGCCGAGCATGCACATGGTTCGGGGTTCGATCTCCTGCCGACGCACACTTGATATCTATGGTCGGCCTGCGAAATTTGGGCTACCGATATCCATGCTGAAAATTCCATACTTTTACCAAAAATACAGTGTGGAATCAAGCTGTAATCAAAAAACAAAAAATAAAACGATATCCCACTTGCCCTACTAACAACTTTTAGTGCCCTTCTCAGCAAAGCAAAGTCTTTCTGAAGTAGTCCAGGAAAGATTAATGGGGAGGAGTAAAGGGGGATGGGTAGAATACAAGAATTTACAAACTGAGAAAGCAAAGACTGCTTTATGCCAGACTGCCTAAATTTCCTAATGTAGAACGTTAAGCGAAACATCTTTCTAGTAACTAGTAAGATGTGGGAAGACCAGGAAAGATCGGCAGAAAAACTCAGCCCAAGGTACTTGACCTTAGATGTATTTTCAACCTCTGTGCCGTCAATGATAGTGGGGCCATGTGAGCTAAGTAGTTGTTGTAGGTCACGTTTACGTCTGAAAGTGAAATTGACTACCTGACATTTAGCCGGATCAAGCTTAAGTCCGTTTGAAGAGGGCCACTGACTAATTTCCGACAGAAAGTTATTTAATTTGAAACAATCTGACTGAGAGTTGACAGGCATAGAAACATAGAGGTCATCGGCATACTTAACAAAAGTGGCTACATCAGAATGAGGCAAGTCATGTAAGAAAAACGAAAACAAAACGGGAGAAAGAACAGTACCTTGAGGAACACCAGCTAAAGTAAGTGAGGTAGTGGACGACTTTCCATTGTAGACGGTGTACTGCATTCTATCAGAAAAATAGGAATGCAACCACTTATTTGTCCAGCTCTCAGCCTGTGTTGCAGCAAGTTTACTTAGCAAGAGAGACCTGGGAACAGAGTCAAATGCAGATGTGTAGTCAAGGAAGGCACAGCGAACGTATTTAGCTCCTTTACCTAAACTAGAGACTATACTATGATGTAGGACAACAGCGGCATCTAACGTACACCTACTATGTTTGTAAGCAAACTGGTCGGGGTCGTTAAAAGGCTTTAAAGAGGGTTCAAGATTAAGTAAAATAAGTCTTTCCATAACTTTTAAAAAAGGTGAGGTAATAGCAATGGGTCTAAACTTAACATTAGGTCCACTTGTTGATTTAGGCACTGGAACGATCTTGATATTTTTCCATGATTCAGGTATAATACTTTTGGAAAACGATTCATTGAAAATGTCAGTTAATGGGGAACACAAGATGTCGGCACACTTCTTAAGGATAACAGTAGGAACACCATCAGGTCCAAGGGACTGAGTAGGCTTGAGGGATTGAAGACACTTGAGGAAATCATTCGTATTAAAGCATGAGAAGCAGTCGTTATTTACACTATTTGAGTTTGGTATCATTTGACCTCTTACCTTATTTTTTCTCCCTTTTTGATATTATCACCTTACTCACAAGAAGTGTACTATCACAACCACATAAATGCATACATATGCTTTGGATTGTAATCTACTAACAATCAGATCGCATATATCTCTCAAATTTTTGATCACAATCATTTTGTAACAGGAGATGGCAAGACACGGAAGCCAAGGTATATTTTCAAGTTATCAAACAGCTATTTATATCTACACAGTTTGTATTCGTTATCCAATCACTGAGCGTGTGATTTTGGTTTACATTAAACAACATGAAATAGAATGTTCAAATAGATATATAGTATTCTTTTGCTAATTCACTATTGAACTGTGGGAATAGTATTCACACGTTAACACCGTCATATGCAATGGTTCTTATTGTGCGAATAACATTCCGTTGGAACCAATTGCCTGTATGACACCACCACAATTTGACATTATTTAAAAAAACATTGGTGATGTCAGCGACAATTATCCTTTAACTATTTTAGATGTATAAATATAGAGCCTGATGAAGAAGTTAGCGAAAAGAATATTTTATTTCCAGTAAATTTTCCCTTAACTTCTTGAATGAGTACAAATTCATCATCATCCCCAACATAACCTTAATGACATTTATAGTTTTCAGGTATTGGTTTTGTAGGGATTTTTGTTTGATTGCATGGAAGATTTCATCATGAGCTGACATCAGTTAGAGAACCACTGGAAAACCTGCAGGGAGTACTGCTGTTTCCTCCCTGCTAGTTCGGGACTCTTCATCAGTACGCACCCGCCGGGGTTCGAACCCAGGGTCTTCCGGTTACATGGAGAGCTTGTAGACCGTTGAGTCACTGGGACCGAATGCAATGGTCCTTGAATTCCAACTTCTGCCAATTCACGGAATAGCGCGACCATTTCGCAATTGTTTCTTTTGTGAGTTACTGCCTCATCTTCAACCTTCTGTAGTTTTTAACAATATAGTTTTAATAACAGACACTATAAGATGCACACTTTACTTACTGCATCAACATCCGTTTGTCCAGTTTTGACATCGGTGTTTTCATTTACTTGATTACGGACGTTCTGAAATATATTTGCAATAATATTACTGTGTAGTAAAACACTAAAAGTAGGTGGTTCATAAATCAATTTAGAAAACATTCAAGCATAAGTAATTACGTAGGATGAGTATCGTGAGGAAACATGACCCACAAGCTTAATTCTGAAATGTGTGAATCATGAAATGCACCGCGTTCTGATGCAAAAATAAACTTGAACACTTGAAAGACTATGTTATCTTAATTTCATAAAGGAGAAAAATAAATACTACATATTTAGATTTAGGTGTTGATGAAGTTATCTAGTTTGACAATGAATCGTTCCTTTGTAAAGATATGGTATGAGGAACACATGTATTGGTAACTTTTAAATATTTTTCTATTCGTAAATTATGAGATTGCATTGAATCGATCGTGCGTCGGTGGTATAGTGGTTAGGACGCTCGCCGACCATGCGCATGGTCCAGGGTTCGATCCCCGGCCAACGCACTCCTTTACCTCGTTGAGCCAGAAATAATGCTGGTAAGAGGAAAGGTTGGGCATGAGGCCAGCTACCCCATCCTGTAAAATAAACATTGCTACAGAAACTTCAGCTGCTAGCTTGAAGCTCTATGTTCCACTGGGGAACGTGAAGGAAAAATAAATAAAAATAATTGAATCGATCCGTTGACAGTGTAAATTAGCTTTTTGTAGATCCTTCTTCATGAATCAAATTCCGGTAGCGAGTAACAGTTGAAAAGAAGATGCAAATTTCATCTTATCTCGTACTATTTAAATGTATACCCATATGTCAGTTATTTCGAGTGTGCTTAGAAACAGAAGTTCACTGAAGGATTTCCTCATGAGCTAACATCGGTTAGAGAACTATAGGAAAACCTGGGAGCACTGGGCAGCTGTTTCGTCCTAGTTTATGACTCTTCATCAGTACTCACCCCTCAGAGGCGTCGGAACCTAGGTTCTTCTGGTTATAAGGCGAGCTCGTAGACCATTAAGCCACTGAGAGCCAATCCATTGACCCATGAATTCCAACTTCTGCCAATTCACGATATAGCGCGACCACTAGTCAATGTCACTGGTGGTATTTGTCCTCATACCTATGTCAGCTCATGATGAAATCCTGTAACCAACCAAATCCCTGCAAACCGACACTTGGACAGAAATTGATTAGTTCACATCTCAAAGTGACAATCACTAAGATGAAGTATCCACGTCTGGAACTTCTCCTAACAAATAATAATTTATTATTATGTACTATACTAAACAAACAAAATATTATGGGATTTAAGTAACATTTACTGAGAAGCTTTTAACTTCAAGGGGGGCTAATTTTCAAGGGGACTATTGGTTCAGACCATTTCAGATAATCTCAATAACAAGCATGGATTGTGTAAGAAGATACGACCTAGAAGATTAATGATGGAGTCAACAAACCTCTCCTCCCCCGCCTAAAAAGTGGGAAAATGAAAACAACCTTAAAATATTTCATACAATTACGATGACACCAGAACTCACCAGTAATAATTCCTTGACTTCTTGATAAATTGTGCGAAGTTCACTAAGCATTTCTTTTGTCTCACCAAGTTTAATTTCTTCATCAAGACTAAAAATTTGAATTAATGTAAAATCCACTGATTATAGCATTTGCCGAGTTGAATACTGAAATGTTTCAACTAAAAATTGTAGGGGACTGATAGTTGTTAGAGGAATGAGATGTGCGATTGACTTAATGCCATGAATGGCAATCAAGAAAGTATTCTACAAAATTACTAGACGACTTTAAAAATCAAGAGAGTAGAAGCCTGGCGATTGTAGCCTTTGTTCGAATTATTAGAAGCTAATGATTGATTCATTCATCTCTTCGGGAGTTGAGTTGTCTTTTCCTCAATTTATCTAGTTGAGCCGTTCTAGATACATTGATTCATAGCTATTTATCACCCGACCGATAGCTGTTACTTTGACGTGGTGGTCGGGCTTGCACATCGCGATGACCCAACAAGCTACACTGGCTGGAACAAATATTCCTGCAGGTCCTGCCATGCCAGGAAGGTTGTTAGGAAGGCGATTAAACTAAAAGCAGTTACTGGCGTTGTGTAAGAATCTTTCTTACACTATGCTGGGGGTATGAGGGAGAAGTCGTACTGCTGGAGAACAGGGGTGTAACAGCAGTGAGGTGTTTCCCTCAGATGACCAGCATGCCAGCTATGTTGTCTCTCCACTCCGAAGAAAGGGGCGGGGGTTAGAAAAGGTCGACCCCAAAAATTGTTCATCCCGACTTATCCTACGGTGGTCCATAACCGGCGGTACGTTTACTAATACGGAACTAATCCAGGAAACGAATTCATACAGGCAGTCACGCAACACTAACCCTCTCTCTGTTTCAGGTACCCGAAGAATTAATCAACTTCTACGGTGTGGGCAGCCGGGAAGTAACAACCGCCCACACACTTCCAAAAGCCGCACATATGTGCAAAGTTCTATGTCGAAAACAGACAGACAGATGTTTAACACAACAGACGAAAACAATTTCCAAGATAATTCAACCTGAAAGACGAAGACGAACAAACTGAAGAAAAGACAGCACAATTCCTGAATAAGAATAAGGAAAACGAATCGATCATTACTTCAGCATTGTCTGAGCAACTACGATCCTCAGATTGTGTAATTTCTTGTTTATATGGTCTCTTGAAAGTGCACAAATACGATGCATGACTACTGCTAATCTTGAACATACCGATTCCCGATACGATGCTGCTTCCAGGTGGCCCAAAGACGTCCATCTACTTGCTCCAAATTAATAAGCAGTGGTCACTTACAGATGAATGTGTGGTCAATCATAGGTTTTCACAGTATGGGTACGGCTGTTCAAACAGTCTGTCTGTCTGTCTGTTTTCGACATAGAACTTTGCACAAATGTGCGGAAGTTCAAGTCGCCACATTCCGTGTAGCACGCGAAGCAAGAGAAGAAAGTACAAGAAAAGCATAATAGAAACAGTGAGCAGAGGTGTGAGACAAAGGAGTAATAAAGAAATACAAAACAGTTTCATTGAAGATCATAAGTCACAGGGAGTGGATGCATCTGCGCCACTGAGAACGATTTTGAGCCATGTCACCAATTGTTTCCAACCATAGATTTTTACCGTCCCGAGGACCCCAGCCTGGAAGTCTACACCTTCCTACGTGGCTTAGACCAACTGTTGTGGATTTCATTGACTGATGCCAAGTTTTTGTTTGACCGCCGCTAGCTTTTTTCCAGCCTGACCCTATATCCGCTAACATTGCTCGTCGAGGGAGGCGATGGCTTGGCATACGTAACACATGTCCTAACCATCTCAGTCTTTGTAGCTTCACGACTTCGTCGATTGATTTCCCCTGTTTACCTAGAACTCTACGCCTAACCTCCATGTTGCTCACCTTATTATGCCACTTTACACGGGAAATAGAACGCAGGCACCTATGATCAAAGACAGCTAGTCTTTTCATGTCTTCCACTCTCAGTGGCCAGGTCTCACAACCATAAAGGAGGACGGAGCGGACTGATGAGCAGTACACCCGCCCTTTGGTCGATAGTCGAACATCTCGTCTACGCCAGAGTCGGCGTAAACTAACAAATGCGAAACGAGCCCCTTGTATTCGTGCTGAGATTTCGTCAGAGATCAGCCCGTTGGGGCTGATGGTACTTCCCAAATAAGTGAAGCGGTCAACGTGCTCTACCACTTCACTTCCTATTTTTAAACTAGGCGTCGATGTAGTCCAGTCCTGTAACATCATCTTGCATTTGGCGGGAGCGAATCGCATGCCAAACATTCGTAGATTGCGGCTCAAGGTGTTTAGAAGACTCTGCATTTCGTCAGCGTCTTCGCCTAGAAGGACTATATCGTCTGCATATTCCAAGTCAACGAGATTATTCCCCGGTAGCAAGTCAATCCCTGAATCGCTGAAGTCACCTAGGGTTAAGTCCATTAACACATCTATGATGAAGTTGAATAGAAAAGGAGATAATGGGCATCCTTGACGGACACCACTGGTCGTCATCAGTTCAGATGACAGCTCGCCGTAAGCCCTCACCTGGCTGTATGAGTACGAGTAGAGTGCCTTAATCAGTGCAATATATTTTCTTGGAATTCCCTTTACAGCCAAGCATCTCCAGAGAACTTCCCGATCGACAGAGTCGAATGCTGCCTTTTAGGTCAAGAAATATAATGACTGTTGGACGCCGGTAGGAATGCCTATGTTCTAGAATCTGTCGGAGGGTGAAGATATGATCAATACACCCTCTTCCTGGTCTAAAGCCTGCCTGGCTCTCTCGTGTTTGTGCTTCCCGAGCACCACTCAGTCTACGCATGATTATTGAGCCTAAGACTTTAGATACTAAATTAGTCAAGCTAATCCCTCTGTGATTATCACAGGAAGACTTGTCTCCCTTCTTGTATATGGGGATAATCAGTGACTTACACCAACCCGATGGGACTTCTTCTGATTCCCAAACGCTGCCTAGTACCTCAGTTAATCCGGACAGTAAGCTGTCTCCACCGTACTTAAATACCTCTGGCGTCATTCCATCAGGTCCCGCTGCTTTGCCTAGTTTCAGATTGGTGACAGCTTTAGTAACCTCAGTTAGTGACGGAGGACCTGTGTCTATATCCCATTCAGGGAGGTGTTGGATGCTCGGAAGGTTGAGCGTGGCTGTGGGCAAATTAAACTGCTCCTCATAATGCTCTTTCCAACGATCCAGTCGTCTATCCTGGAGCTAATTATAGTGCCATTTTTTCCGAGATTGTCTCACTAATGATTTGTCTTCTCCCACCCGTTTCCCTGATGAGTCCAAAGAGTTGCCTGGTGTTGCCTATCCTCAAAGCTTTCTCCATCTCTTTGGCTTTTGTCGCCCACCACTGTTCACGGTCCTTGCGGAGACTTTTCGTAAGTTTCCTCTTGTGCAGCTTTCGCTCCTCATTGAATTCGGAGCTCGCCGGAATAAGTCTTCTAGCATCTATCAGTTCGGATGAGGCGGTGGAGATCCAGTGGTTTTTACTCACCTTTGGGTTTACCTTATTCACAGCTTTTACAGCTGTATCTATGGCTGCCTGGATATTTTTCCAAGCTTCTTCAGGGTGAGCACAGCTGTCGAACACAGATATGTGTGTTCAAACAGTGGACTGGATTCAAATTGTTTTCACTGCCTATTTCGTGAGAGAGCATCAATTCATAGGTGTCATTCAATATCTGCTCTTGATTCTGAATTAGACGACATTAAAGGCAGCTGGTTTTCATTAGGAATTCGTCAAATACGTACTGATCGACCGAACAGTCTTGTAAGCGAATGCATTTGGCTGTGTGGTCAAATTAGTACTAATTGTCATTATTGTCTCTATTCTTTTTGTTGTTGGGCCCTTTTTCTGTCAAATTTGGTGCTAATAAGCGTCACTATATTGATTAAGGGTCTTCGAAATATAGAATGTCGATTGAATATAAATTAGTCATTTACAAAACACTGGTTGAAAAACATCGAATGTACAATTTGGAAGGAAAAACATGAATGCAAAGGTCAAAACTCACAATACTTATAGTAACTACTTACATTTTAAGACTGAAATAGCTACCGTAGTAACCCACTGTTTTTAGGCGGATTATTTATTTTACTTTAATCCTTTGCTTTCCTTAGTGGCAAATAAAGCTTCAAGTCTGAGCTTTGAAGCCTTAGTAGCAGTGTTTTTATTTTTACGGAGTGAGGCTGCTAGCTTCACACCCAACCTTCCCCCTTTATTGGACTTACTAAATGCTAAGCGAGGTTTAACAGTGTGTCGGCCAGGGGTCAAATCCCTACTACTTGCTTGGTCGATGAGTATTTTACCACCCAACCACTGAAGTGGCAAATAAATCTGAGATTCAATGAATAAAACGTCAATGCTTGTACGGAAGAATCATATGCCTAGTAGACAAAACACTGAATGCAGCACAATAATGGGGAATCGTTAGAATGTTGTTCGAAATGAATTTAGATCGGTAACACTAAGTAATTGATCTTAAACTAGATTGAACAAGTGACAGTTTACTTGCCGATACTGAGACTGGAAAAGAGGGGGAGTTGTGCATGAAGCTGGAAACACTTCTGCGTAGAATAAACACCATCGTTACTGAAACTTAGAAACCTAGAAAACATAAAGAACTACGAGCACATTAATGGTGTAGCTATTATGCTACTAGCATTTGTGTTAACTGCAATCAGTCAGTGGGGACCAATCTTCTCTAGGATCACGATAACAGAATTCAAATCAAAAGAAAGGGAGAAAAGTTCCTTCATGACGCAATGACAACTGAATGGAGATAAAAGAGACCTGAAAACATTGTCTAGAATAACTGGTCACTATCCCAGAAGAGATAAGCACAGATGAAGTTACTGAAAGTGAAGGGAACCTGCGCATGCTGCTACTGCAGAATGTATGGAAGGAATGAAAAGTTCCTGACGACTGGAAAAAAGGCTTCCTTGTCAAACTGACAGAAGAAAGGTGGCATAATCCACTACAACAATTGATGCGGAATCGTACTCTTGTCCACGCAGAGCAAAATAATAATTCGTATCACAGCGGAGAGAATTATGAGTGCCTTGGATAGAAGAATTCGCTAAGAACAGGTTGTATTCAGAAAAATCAAGTCATTATTGAGCATCAGCATAAAATACACCCAGAATGGCTGTCAAATATCTACCTCCACTTCTGGATTTCGCGGATGATGTATGTCTGCTATTTTACAAACCAACAAGTTTGCAGAAGAGGCAATACAGACAGGACTACAACTGAACTCAGGAAGATAAAGATTATGAAGATATCCAACCGTTAACAGCAACAACAACAACAATCCCTATGAATACAAGAAGTCTAGAGGAGATCTTCTCTTTGACCTACCTGACCTGGGTAGCACTGCTTCAGCTATAGGCTGCACGGATGGGGAATTCAAGGCCAGTCAGGAGAGGGGCTGGCGAACGAAATAGGTGTCTGTCACTCTGAAATCATTGTGGGGATCTACAGCACTCAGCACTGGGAATAATATCCAAATTTTCAACACTAATGTCAAGTTGCTGCTTCTATGTAGTGTAAATACGTGATAATCGTTTAGGTATCTATGGTTTGCTATTACTCGGCTGACAATTATAAGACAAAATTAATCCACTAACCTTTTCCTTTCAACTTCTTGAGTTTTGGAGTCTAAGACAATTTCAGAATTCCCCAAGTAACTTTCTAGTTTGTTCAATGTTATTTCGGGATCATCATTGTTATTATCATTGATATTTATAGGGCTTGTAACTTTCACATTCGAAGATTCTATTTGACTTTGTTGTCTAGATGTATTCCTGGTGATTTTTGAAATGTTGTAAGGTGAGACGACTGGCTTTTGTCTTGAGAAATTTGTATTTCGTTGCGATGACTCTAACCGTCTGTCTGGCAACTTTGATTCTGAAACAGTTTAGTTAATTTTTGTTTTAGTTAATTCATGTTTTATCAATTCAACTCAACTCATCAGTACAAGTAGCCAATTCCACTTACTGCCGTCTCATTACAAGGGGAATCTTGCACGGTAATTAACAAGTTTAGTGACTAAAGTATTTCTTTTAATCGTAGTCATTATTCGAGCTAAATTTAAGTTTCCAAATTGAAATACTTACCAGTCGTCTCCGTTTTGGTAACCTCATTCTGAAATATGTGAGGACAAAAGTCAGATTCTAGCATCATGACTATGTTGTTTCTATAAACTGCAATAAGGTATAACTATATAGCTTATGTATTAGGATAACAGCATATGTAATGCTAACCAGAGTAAACTAGATGTCATATTAATCAAACTGTCCTCTGAAATGCGATGCCTTTGAAAAAGTGTCTAGTAAATCAAAGGAATTCATCTATACCTTTTTTGGTATGCATATTTAAATTGGTAACAGGCTTTCTTAATCAAACGAAACTCTTGTGAGTCCTCATCTGAAAGCTATGCAGTTTGTAAGTGTTAAATTAAATTTTATACTCCATTTAGGCTTTCAAACGGAATTCCAAGTCATCTTTCACACAAGGCTGAACTAACCAGAATTCGTGTGTATTCAACAAAAGTTCTATCTATCAATATTCTCCTTTGGCCAGGATAAACTTAAATTAACCGACCAAAATAAGTCAGCCCTTTTCCGATTATTCACGCGTTTCTACTAAACTAATTCAAGCTTTGGTTACAGGATTTCATCATTAGTTGACATCAGTTAGAGAACCACTGGAAAACCTGCATGGAGTACTGGACAACTGTTTCCTCCATCCTAGTTTGGGACTCTTCAGTAGTATGCACCCACCAGGGTTCGAACCCAGGACCTTCTGATTACAAGGCAAGCGACCTCGTAGATCAGTGAGCCAAAAACAAATCGATATCACTTAGGATTGCTTACAGAACCGCTAGTTTTTCCCATGTCAAAGCACAATAATTGTATACTTATTATTTAACAGTGAAACAATACTAGGACCATAAAATTTTGATTCCGCACAGGAGTACAACTGTACATAATTGAATTCCTAAACTGAAATACAGCAACTGTCAAGTGATTTTCAAGAAACAATTTTTCATAGAAGAAACGTTTCCAGTTGCTTTTGCAGAGAGTTATTATTGTTATTATTATTATTTCCTTTAATTCCTAGATGAACATAGGGCTTCAGCCACACGTCTCCGTTGCGTTCGGTTCTCTGCTGACATTTTCACCTGGCTTTACATCTGCCCACATGCTTTCATCTCCTATTCATATGACCTCCTCCAAGTCACCCTCATGATGACGACCAACTCGCCGCCCGCTTCCCTTTCGGGTTCCACTCGAGCAATGGCTTGTCTAGTGATGTCTCTTGATGGTTTCCTCAGAATATGGCCAGCCAATCCATCTCCATTTCTTCCTGGTTATTTGTTTCACAACCGGTTCCTGGTTGGTTCGCTCATTGCCAGAGATCCCTGTTGCTGATCTTTTCCGGCCAACCATTTGATCTTCAGTATTGAGTAAAGACAACTGTTGATGGTTTGTAGTTTGTTTGAGATGCTTCTCTTGACGCGCTGGCCAAGTCTCTGATCCGTATAGTAGCACTGACTGACTTCACACTGGAGTTGAGAATCCGGATCTTATTTTTGATTCTGAGTGCTGTTGACCTCCACACAGACTTAGGAGTAATGAAAGCTTGTCTTGCTTTTCCCATTCTTGCTTTGATATCCTCGTCAGTTCCCCCGTCTGTAGTTGAAACGATGCTTTCCCGGTAGGTGGGTAGGTAAAGGCGGTTGTTCCTTCAGGTTCCTCCCATTTATGCTGGCTGATTGTTATCTGTTGTTGTTGCTGTTGCTGTTGGTGGTGTTGTTCAGGAATCTTCACCACCTCTGTTTTATCTATGTTCACCTGAAGTCCTATCTTCTCTGGATGCCACTTCCGCCAGCTTGTCGCTTTTCACTTGCATATCTTCCAGTTTGTGGGAAATCAGACATATATCATCGCCGAAGTCCAGATCCTCCAGGTCCTTTTTTGTGTGAGTCCATTTTATGCCTGTTTCCTTATTGCCCGTTGTCTGTCGCATTATCCAATCTACTGCAATCAGGAAAATCATTGGTGATAATAGACAGCCTTGTCTCACTCCCGTCCTCACTTTAAAGGCTTCCGTAAGTTTCCCGTTGTGGATTGCTTGCCATGCAGCATTGTCGTATAGCTGTTGGATGAGATGTATAATTGTCGATGGGACCCCGTAGTAGCGAAGTAGTTGCCAAATGACCTCTCGATCGACGCTGTCGAAGGCCTTTTCAAAGTCGATGAAGTTGAGTGAGGTGGAGAGGTGACTGCCATTCCAAGTTTTGTTCAATGATGATCCGTAGAGTGGCGATTTGATCAATACTTGACTTGTGTCTGCTGAATCCAGCCTGTTCCGGCCGAAATTTTTCATCCAGCTTGGCTTGTTTGATTCCCTCCAGGATGATTCGGCTTAGTATTTTGCTTGGGATGGACAGGAGCATCTCAATAATAAGAGGGGTATGTAAAACACTTTATAAACTCAATATTATAACAATCCATCGACTACTTCTCAGTACTTTATTGAATATCTGTAAAAGCATTTAAATTAATAAAGCATATAAGCTTAATTATGTTCAGGTGTACATAGAACAGACATATAGACACTGTAAAGCTTACTTGTATTCAACTTCCCAGATTGTTGATTAGGTAATGCTTTTTGTTTCATTTGGGCTCTTATCGGTATATTTCTATATTTTGATGTTTCTGTAGACGTTGGGACAAGAAATTTCCGTTGTGATAGATTCTGTCGATTTAATTTTTCCAAATGTTCATCAACGTCACGTTCTGCTTTACTTGAAGTAGACGGTAAAGTTTTATTTGTACAGTCATTTTGTAACATAGATAAACGATGCTTTATGTCATTAAGATTATCCTTTGAAGGCATAAAACAAATAGGAAGAATGGATAAGTGGAATTTACGGGCTTAGAGAAACCATCAAACACAGATATGTCCTCAAGTTATCTTATAAAGAGCATGATCGGAGACAACTTGATGTCTCATCATCATCACCAGTATTTGTAAGTTGAAAATGTGATCAGTACTAGTTGAGATCTGTAATACTAAAAATCTATGTAAGCAGTAACTTTAGGCTAACAGGTAAGGCTAATAATGCAAGAGTTTTCTGACAATATGTGGCTCCTAAAAAGCTGACAAATTGGGAGGAAATTTCGACATCCGATATACTAATTGGAGTTTGAATGTTTAAGTCAGTGGAGTGAACTGAAAAATTACATTTCCAATTTAGCGAAAATATTCATTCAGATATCTATAAAACACAAAATAATCGAGCAAAGAATATCCTTTTCGATAAATTCCTCTTCTGGCTCTACAATTATATACATGTTTATATACACAGAATATTCAAGGTTGGTAGTTAATAACAATCTTAGTGTTTTTCAAATAATATCGATTTGTAAAGTAAGATCACAATGGAATTACAGTTCACTAAAAATACTTAAATTATAATAGTAATAAAGATATAACAGCGAGTAGAATATCAACTAAAATTAGGAAATTTCCACAAAAATTGAGAATCCTTCAAACCTAGATGGCCAAGGTAAGGACAGCGTCTGAACTAACTTCTTTTGGACGCACAAATTAGGCTTTTTAATGTGGATCCCAACAGCCTCAGCAATATTTAGTAATCGAACTCTCAAGGCGAAGTTGAGATTTGTTGGTATCCGGTAAATAACTCTAAAAGCCTGGTTAACATCAATCTTATGTTCTGTATCCACAAGATGAGCCAGAATAGCACTACGAATAGATTTTGTTTGGCCTTTGCAAACAAGAAGGAAGCAAAGAGCATCCTGGATAAATTTAACGAGGTACATCCTGCAATACATTTTACCATTGAGACAGAAAAAGAATCTAGTATTCCATTTTTAGACGTTTTTATGACCAGAAAAGAGGATGGCTCAATAAGAAGTGTTTATAGAAAACCTACATCAATGGGTCAGTACACACATTTTCTCAGTTTTGTGCCCTTGAAATACAAACGCAATTTGATAAAGTGCCTGGTTCACAGAGCAAGAGCGATTTGCTCGGACGAATGTCTTGATGAAGAACTGAATAATATTAAACGGTTGCTAAGTGAGAATGGTTATCCTGAAAAGTTTATTGATAAGAATACGAATTTGAAACCAAAGCAGCCGAAGTTACCAACAGTTCCAAAAAAGGCCTTATTCTTTCAGATGCAGTTCCTTGGGGACAACACTAGCGAGATACTAACATAGCGTATTAGAAGTGCGGTAAAACGAGCATTCCCTGCTGCTGAATTACGTTGTATCTTTAAGACCACTCCTCTTCTTATCTGATAGTGAACATCCTCTTTATTCACAATTGTTTCCTTGTATCTCTTCGGGTAAGACCAGAAGAAATTTTATAAACACTTATGCTCGTACTACAAAATATAAAAATTCGACCGTTCCATATTTGGCACGAGTATTGTGTGAAGAGACAAATATCAGAAAAGAACTTTTACAACTTTTGAATCAGTAACTAAACTATAAAATGAAATGATGCATATTAATGCAAGTGTTATTTGTTATATTATTTATTTATTATTCACTATGACCTAGAAATGGTATGATTTTGTTGGGTTTTTTATTTTTATTTATTTTTTTATTATTTTTTCCTATTAACTATCAATATTTTAACATTTTATATATTTATATAATTATAAACAGAGCTAAACCATTGCAATATGTAAAAGAAACGCTGAAAATTCCATGCTGTAAATTGTTATTGTTGTGGAATAAAGTGATTACTATTATTATTATTATTATTCTGCGTTCGGGAGTAAAAGACAAACTGCCTAATTTTGCCTCATCCATGTGTATCTACCAGTTTAACTGCTCCTGTGGAGCCAGTTACATAGGCCGCACAATTAGGCGTGTTTCTCGTCGAATTTCCGAACATCACTCTGCGTGGTTAAGCAAAGGCCAAACAAAATCTATTCGTAGTGCTATTCTGGCTCATCTTGTGGATACAGAACATAAGATTGATGTTAACCAGGCTTTTAGAGTTATTTACCGGATACCAACAAATCTCAACTTCGCCTTGAGAGTTCGATTACTAAATATTGCTGAGGCTGTTGGGATCCACATTAAAAAGCCTAATTTGTGCGTCCAAAAGAAGTTAGTTCAGACGCTGTCCTTACCTTGGCCATCTAGGTTTGAAGGATTCTCAATTTTTGTGGAAATTTCCTAATTTTAGTTGATATTCTACTCGCTGTTATATCTTTATTACTATTATAATTTAAGTATTTTTAGTGAACTGTAATTCCATTGTGATCTTACTTTACAAATCGATATTATTTGAAAAACACTAAGATTGTTATTAACTACCAACCTTGAATATTCTGTGTATATAAACATGTATATAATTGTAGAGCCAGAAGAGGAATTTATCGAAAAGAATATTCTTTGCTCGATTATTTTGTGTTTTATACATTTCCAATTGTTGATTTATAGGGATTTTAACAGACTTCATGTTCAATGTCATCACGAACCTATATCAGCTAGAGAAACATTGTAAACGTAGGAGTAATCGTATCTGTTCTGCTTTAATCTAGGATACTTCAGAAGCACTCCACCATCACTCAACCAGGAATGTAAAACATAATTTGTTAACTACAGCTGTGGATAAAACGGAATTGAAAAGCTTTATTACTCGGCAGTTCCTTTCGACAACTTGAAATTTCTGAATAATCTGTCTGTCTGTCTGTTTTCAACATAGAACTTTGCACCGATGTGCAGCTGTTCAAGTCGCCACACTCCCTCCTTGTAGCACTCAAAGGAAGAGAAGACAATAGAAGAAATGCATAATGGAGACAGTGAACAGAGGTGTGAGACAAAGGAATAGTAATAACGAAGAACAATATAGTCACAGGGAGTGGATGCATCTGCGCCACTGGGAACAATTTTGAGCCATATCGCCAATTGTTTCCAACCATTGGTTTTTACCGTCCCGAGGACCCCAACCAGGAAGTCTACACCTTCCTACATAGCTTAGACTAACTGTTGTAGACTTCATTGACTGGTGCCACGTTCTGGCTTGACTGCCACTAGCTCTGGTACAATCACATCCAGAAGATGTTACAGACTTCATTATAGTCAAAAACAGTAGTCCTAGTTACAAGATATGAAGCTGATTATTTTTATCCCATAATATGCTTGTCGTGTAAATACTTTAATACTGATATGTACTTAGTTTGTGGTTTAATATTAATTTTTATGGTTAGTAATAGACGAAGTAATACAGAATTTATGAATCTACTGGTTCCACAGCAGGCCAGGGTAACAGTAATGGTTGGACCTGTTTCCTTTATACGCAGTTCTTAGGGTGCTTTAAGCGAATTGAAATAGCCTCTCCTATTTCAAATCTTAAGTATCTGGAGGCCTCTGGTAACCTATTCGGCATATGTTTATTACGTTTAAATCAATGCGTCAAAAAGATGTAACCTATAATATCATCAGTGAATTATCACTTTTGCCAAAAATAATACAATACTTACCTGTAGTGATTTTTCATCAACAATTAGTTGTTTTTTATTTGGACTGTGTATAGGGCTTTCAGGCTCCGGAACACATACATTAGCACGACATGGTACAGTACATGATTGACAACAATCAGGTTTAGAAACCCATACCTCAGGTGGAGTTATTAATCTTGGTGTTATTGTATTATAGGCATCATTTAACGGTAGAAGACACTTTCCTCCAACAAGTTCATGGCAGAAACAGTTAACATTTTCATTTACAGATGAACGTGCATATTTACAGATTTCTTCTAACTGCATGGACAAGTCTTTAACCTGAGGAACAAAAACAAAAGCAGTTACTTTCTGAATAAAAACCTATCAGAATAATTTACAAATTAACATTATATCTAAATAGCCTGTTTAAATTCAGTCAGACTGTGAGCTCGGGATAAGGCAGTACAGTCTGTAATGATAAGCAACCGTACATGTAAAGTAGGTACAGTAAATTTGGAATTCTTGATTGAATTAAGTGTTGTTGAATGTCACAAAGAACGATTTCAACTCTACTTAAAGTAGGAAAGGTCTAGGCCACAGTAGTAGTAGTAGTAGTAGTAGTAGTAGTAGTAGTAGTAGTAGTAGTAGTAGTAGTAGTAGTAGTAGTAGTAGTAGTAGTAGTAGTAGTAGTAGTAGTAGTAGTAGTAGTAGTAGTAGTAGTAGTAGTAGTAGTAGTAGTAGTAGTAGTAGTAGTAGTAGTAGTAGTAGTAGTAGTAGTAGTATGCCTTCAACGGATAACATTATGCTTAATGTCTGTAAAGTATGGATGCTAAGTATTGATCGATTTATTTTGTTTTGGTCCTTTTTCATCAAACAGCATATGTAAGAGGGATTTTGATACACAGCTTGATACTGTCTCTATAAGCTGGACCTTAGTTATCGAAGCAAAGAAAAAGTATGAGTTGTCAGCTAAAAGGGAGACAATCGCTTATTTATGGGTAATCCGTGTCACTGAGTATTATAACAATTGTAATCGTGTGTAAGTATTAAAATTCTACTCGGAGTTTTCATGCATTGATACCACATATTCATAAGCTGAATAACCAACTTCTGGTACATTTCAGTAACAGTTAATTGATGTTTGCGACTGCTTTACTTTCAAATGACTCCATTATCTCATAAAGCTGACTTGTTAGAATTTAAAAGTGAGGTTTTAATGTCTCAAGTGCGCCTGACGTTTGACTGAACTAACATTAATAGTTTCTTTAAACACGGGTATGACAGTGACTTAACAGTATACACTACAAATCTCTGGTATTGAAAATATTGTCAGTTTTCCATATCCACCTCTAAGTATTTTTGATGCAAAGATTCAGGTAAGTTCTCCTAAAACATATTTGATTCTTCTGAACACCGAAACGTTACTGAACAGTGTCATAGGCGGCCTGTAGCAAAGATGAAATTCTTTATTCCGCTTATACAAACATTCCAACTATCGTTGTGATAATTTGCAGTAAATTACCTCAAAATGATATCAACATTTAGAAAAATTATCAATTTGAGTATAGACTAATTGGAAAGTTCATTTAAACAAACCAATTCATCTTGCTATTTGCAAAATTCGTATTGATTTCATGAAAAGCCCGGCTACTTTTCAACACTTAGCGTATTCTTTATAACTGAAACATATGGAACTGTCTTGATCCAAACATATCAACCTTTTCTTGACAAACTGTGAAACAACAAAGCTTCTGAAACCTTCCTTCAAGTAACTTCATCTTACAAGAGTTCCTTAAGAGATACCCAGAGCCGTATAAAAAATTACATATACCCATTTTGTATCATATGTAGCGTAAGTCCTATAAGTATAAAACTTGGGCACTGTGGTAGAGTATAACTTCATTATGGATAAGATTTTATTTTGATAAATAACACAGTGTTTTACAGTAATATTAACTGATGACATTTCGAGCACAAGTTATTGCTCGAAACGTCATTAGTTAATATTACTGTACAACACTGTGTGACTTATCACCATAAAATTGATTTGATTTTGGCTTTTGATTACAGCTTGATTCCACACAGTATTTTTGGTACAAGTATGGAATTTTCAGCCCAAATTTTGCAGGCCGACCATAGATATCAGGTGTGCGTCGGCAGGGGTGACAGTTTAGGATCAATAATTATGCGTAAGGAAATGGCAAAGCTGAAATATCAACCACCGATTTACTAAAACCTGTTTGACAGGTATTGTACGGGTATAACAGTTAGTATTGGAACTGTTCAATACATACCATGCTTACAGATGAATATCTATACTTATGATTGCTTACTTGTTCCTTTAAATCAAATGGCTCTTCATCATGAAGTATATTCTTCTGATCTTCAGTATTATTATTAAAAATCTGACTGTCGACATTTTATGACCAAATCTGTTATCAACCGATGGTTGGTTAACATCACTGCAGTTGTCATTTAAACAAATCGGATTTTCAAAAACGACTTTTCTGTATTTAAGGATTAGGGTAAAAACAGGGAAAGAAATTTATTACCGGCTTGCAAGTTTTGACTTTACTGTTGTTGCTGTTGGCTGTTTACTTCGTACGACACTAATCACACCATCTTTGTTCTTTAGATGTATATTCGAAGGAATATAGTCGTTCATCTCTGTTCAATGCTGAGCCTGAAAGAAAGGAAGAAAGATAGTTATTTTTATATTATAGAAACTGAATTTTGGTATTTGGGAGAAATGACCATCATCAAAGCAATGGGTTTATTGCCAGGTTCAATAGAATGTTTAAACTGTAATTTTGTTAGGGACATAACGCAATTTGTGGAATACATTTTGGTGACAAATTCATTCAATTTTTTCTAGTTTTCATATCATATAATACTGAGAGCATTCTACCTTAACCTTTAGAGAACATTAATTGAAGTTAATTCCAAGCCTACATACTAAATTAGATGCCTCTTAGGGTTATTTTACTCACTGCAATATCAAGTGAAATACGACGTGACTGATTAACAAAATAACGTGAAACTTCTAACAGAAGTGGAAAAGTTTAAAGCATAGAAGGAAGATATGTGGAAGAGAGAATAATTAGATGAACACTGGCGACTTCCACTGTCCGGAAGACGATAGGAAGAACATACACTTGAGTCACTGGTAATGGCTCAAAAATGTTGCATTTCGAAGACTGAGGAAAGGGGTTCCATATGTATCTATAAAGTTCACTCAGTTAGTAACTACATGGAATGATACTATATTTCGGCCTGTTCACACGTTATTCTTCTCCAAATCAACTCTGCTGCTGTTAACATTGCTCGCCAAGGACAAACTACATATAAAATGTTCATGAAAAATATATTGACTAAAGCGCTCGTGTTGTCGGTGATACACTTATTTGGTCAATACGAGGACAAGCAGAAGAGTGTGTTAGCTCCAGATAATACACTAATGCAATTAAAAACTTTGTAAACATTTTGGATCTGATTCATGTAAACGCAGTTTTTTATATGACCAGAATAGATCATCTAGTAGCCTAGTACAAACGATATTTATGATCCAAAGTATGTGAAGAGCAATTCACCATCACTACCATTGTTACGGCCAAAAAGGTGAGACTTACTAAGATTGGTGGCGAATACTAAAGCTTATAAACTAAAGCGAAATAAGCATGACCTCTCTCACATAAGCAACATGTAGATGTAGTTAATACCAGGAAATGCTATTAACAGCTTGTTACGTAGACAGCGATAAAATGAATGTCAACGTAAAGAATTTTTCACATACCTGGTTGCCTACAGCTGATGACCACCAAACCTAAGATTAATGGACACTATCTTGTTTAGAAGGCATGTTTGTTAACTCAGCATAGATACATGCGTTAGTCAGCTAAATTAAAATGCACCGGCAAGGGATTCCTCCTTCTTCTGAAATGTCTGTCAAGACTTTAAACAAGAATAGCTGTTCATCACATAAAATTTCATGAAAGCTGATTATGTTCCATAAACGTGACAGTTACATAAAGCCAAATAAACTTCAAGAACAAGACGAAGCCTAAGAAAGTCATTTTATGGAATTCAATGAACCTTTGGCAAGGGATCTTGTAAAAATACTAGATTCCTGTAGCTGAGCATAATTTTTGCAAATAAGAGCAGGAAGCAATGATTTATGCCTAACTCTTCTAACTGATTTTGACATATATAAGTGGCGAGTTGTTTCTTCACCATACAAGTGGATTTTCCAGAATTGCAAAATTTCTTATGGGTCTTCAGGTTGACTTTTCAAACATCTAGTGGGAGCTAGGAAGTGTGGATACCCCTCAAACAGTTGGTACAGTTCACCAAATTATGTCGAGGTATAACAACCACGTACTGAAATGCATGTAGTAACCTACATATTATTAGGGGAACTTCATCTCTCCAAGTTCAAATAAGCAGCTGATTTGATGTGGAATGGTACTTCATATAATTCCCTGTGTCTGATTGGTTGTTGAAAACTAATGATGAATGATAAGTGAAAAGTCACTTGCAACGCACAAAGCCTTTAATATCACCATCAGTGGCCACCTCCGTTCTTTACATTATAATAAGAATGTGAGTGTGGAAATTATTTAAAACAAAACATTCACGATTCCTGGCATTATTAACTGACTATACGAGGTGTGAACTTATAGGGCGAATAGCCTTTATTCACAGAACCACCGGCGAGATTTATGTGACTTACAGTATTGTAATGCCCACCTAGCTTTTCCTTTGGGCGTAATGCAGAAAGTGGGACAGTTAGCTGCAGTCTACCTTAGAGTGTCTGCAATGCAACCAAAGTCAATGCTAGCTGTGATTGGGTTTCCTACTTAACTAATGCAGCTGGACATAAGACAAAGAGAATAACTTCAGTTATTATTTCTAATTACTACTCGTTGAAGTTAGAGTATCACATCGAAAGTCAAGGTCCTCCAAAAGTTGACTTTCAACAACCAATCAGACACAGGGAATTATATGAAGTACCACTCCACATCAAATCATGCCTGACTTTCTGGACTTTGAGAGGACAGATACAGTATTCTACTTATTTACTAGGTATTTTTTCAGAAAATCTATACTCTTAGGTAGAGTTATGGCTTTAAGGTTAACGTTTAGGGTCTAGGGTCAATGTTAGGTTCACGGCTAAAATTAGGGTAGGGATTTAGGGTGATGGTCAGAGTTAGAAGTAGGTTGGAGAATAGTGTCAGAAATACCAATGGATCTCGAAGTACCATGACCTACGGTCACCTGGATGAATTGATAATATCGTGCACGATATGATTTCTGTATAGATCATCTGTATAGTGACTGGGAGACATTATTACATCACATAAGATAAGGATTTTAGTTTATTTTTCAGCAATGATGCCACTTTTGTATCCAAATGCTGATTGGTTATTCAAAACCGCTGTGCACCATGTTTTTGGAGATGATAGTTTAACTTTCCCTAGTAATCATTAGCACTCATTTGGAAGTGAATAATGAGCGTGTTCAAGTGTCTCTATTTTACTAGTCGTACTGCCCAAGCTTACCATAATACTGAATTAAAACTAGCGAATTCTGAACTAACTCTAACATTCTATAGTGAGTAAATGCTGAATCTGTTCAGAGATGGTTTGTTTAGGCGCAGAGACTAGAACTCATTGCTGGTTTTTAGCATGACTGGTATTGATTCAGCACCCTGTTTCTTTCTAAGCATTTTCAGTATATCGGAACCTACTAGGCTTGCCGTTTCAGTCCATATTCATCACTGACTGCATTACTTCGGAACAAAAAGACATTTCAGAGAATAGTGACAATTTTTCAGCCTTATTTCATCACTGAAGGAATTATTTCAGCTGAGAATGCTATTTTTAAGGCTTCGTCGCACTAATTAGGCGTTCTTTGCTCTTTCTGAGGACTATCGGCGTTATTTCAGAACGTAGCAGGTTCATTTCAGGTAGATAACATGTCCAGTGACCAATAAAAGTCATTTTCGATGCAAAGGTTTGAATTAGTCTAGAATTATTTTAAGTGCCCAGTCGGTTACTTTTTTTGTGGACCTGGGATATGTGGGTAAAAACGTGGGTAGTTTTCCGTTTAAATGTGGGCAAAGTGGGATAAGGTGGGCTGTTTTCGTTTGTAACATGGGCAAAATGGGAATAAGTGGGCTGTTTTCTAAAATGAGATGGGCAAACGGGGAAAAAGTGGGTATATTTTGAATTCCTGCACATGGGATAAATGGGTGAAAACGTGGGTTACGTGGGAAAACTGGGAAAAGGTGGGACAAACAAATTTTATCTGGACATAGGAAAACGGGGAAAAAGTGGGAAATGTGGCCAAAGTGGGTAAAATCGGTTGCATTTACACCATCTTTTGCCCACGTGTTTGCCGATCAAAATTACCCTTTTATCCCACGTTTGCCCATGTGCATTAACCGACTGGGTGTGGGTAGGCGAAATGACAACAGAGGAGACATTCCCATTAGTCAACATAAATCCTGAAATTTCTTTCGAACCTTATGTTTGACAATGCATTGTCAAATTCACTATGATATATGATCAAAATCATAATATTTCACTCATGAGTGCACTCATGAGTTATGACTTCATGAAGTCATAACTGCAGTTATAATTTCATATTTGAAACTAAAAGCACGTCGAAAATTTTTCGCATAATATAAATAAACCTAAGACATTATGCAGCGAACTAGCTTTGTATAAAACTCGCGATGTCCTTCGTGAAAACATCGGACTCCAGTCCTAAATTATTGATCGCGAGGATATTACTACTACTTAACCTAACATGATGCCTACAGAAAAAGTTTTATTCTCATGGTTCATTCATTATCTTACTTTACTAAAAAACAAAAGTCCAGCAGGTAAGTTGCTAAACACAAACCATAAACACAAATATACTTGAAACTGTGCGAAACCTAAAATCTATGTTGAAAGCACAAAACGACAAATACAAACAAATTAAATGTTTCAAGCGAGATTTCGATAATTCGTCTTCATCTTATTAGTGTTTGTGATGAAGTATGAATCGGAAAATTTTGGAAGGACGTTTTATTTCTTGTTGTCTTCCATCGGCCCTGTGAGATTTTTTATGATCACCAAAAACTTGTAATGGTACCCCACCCTGAGATTTTTCGGTTACAATTCACTTTGATTTCTTTTCTACAAGCATTATGTGTGTGATGCATGAACTACGGTCGGCTCACCCCTTCAGTACCTCATGTTTTGATTGTTCGCCCTCTGTAGATATTGTACAGTGTGATGACTGCTGTAAGTTTTACCGGAGTTTGAGCGCTGAATTACGTTTAACTGATCATAAGTGGAACTGTAAGTTAACATCACGTAGGATTTTCAGGACACGCTATTCCCTGGTTGCTTCCTAAGTAAAGAGGTCAGTGCATTTATCTCCCTGTCAGTGACGTGGGATAACGGAGAGGCACAGACTGGACTCCTGGTGTCCGTGTATCTTGTCATTATGAAAATATTACTTCAATTGTTTTGGACGCACTAAGTGAAGAAACTAAATGGCATTCGTAGAGGCCAGGAGAAAACATACATCCAATTATATGCAATGCCCCAATCTCAAAATCTGCTGTTGGAATATCAGGTATTCCCATCTATGTAGGTGACAGGAAAGGTGATC